ATGGAGGTTACTGGATATGATACATCAAAAGACTGTGCTGTTGGTTGAAAACCTTGCTCCATCTTACATTATTTAATTTTTTCGGGGGATAATGGTACACTCGTACTGCTGCTGATTCTGAGTGGACGCTGCATTCACAGACCACGTCATAGGACATCATAACACTACATTCAAACTGCCCTTCCATCGTCTGTCGTCTTCGTCTCAAGTTCGAGTCCCAGTCCATCGTCGTGCCGCTCACTCGATCTCTTCGACGTTCTCTTTTACGTATTTTCTAACCTCGTTGTTGCAATGACTTTATTTCTGCAGCACGAGTCGTCCGCAATTCAATTTTATTTTCATCGCCAGTCTTTAGTACACGTTCTTGTCATTACAGCACGCACACCAAGCTCTGACTTGTTGGATATTTCTTGTTTCTCTTTCTCTCTCTTTCTTCTTTGAGATGAAGTCTGGATTTTTTCTTCTCTTTTTTATAAACACATGCACGCGTCATGATCACACACGTCATCACGCTGTTCACTTTAACTTCATTTGTTTGAAACACGTACCGCTACACGTCGAAAAATCAACGTGTACGGCTCTCTACTTGATTGAGCGAGGTGATGAAGCGTGTTTGGCTTGTTGTGGAAGCTTTCCAATCCTGAAAATGTACCTGCTGTTTCGTGCTACAACTCTTGGCTTTAGTAGTCCTGGTCATCCAGTTGTAAATCTCAGCATCCTCGTCCGAGTTCGAGCGAAGCTCACGTGTCTTCTCACTCAATTTGTAATGCAGCTCCTGCTGATGCTCCATCAGCTCCAGCTCGGCCAATATCTCATTGATCTCATCCACTTGCTCCAGCTCTTGCATCTCTGTAGCGGACAGTGGGTAAAAGTCCGGATCAAAGAGCTCCTCGTCCGGAATCTCCTGCAAAAGCTCGACAGGGTCAGCAATCACAAATCCTGCTTTACCAGGTGAATGTGGTCGCTCTTGGTAATAATCTTCCGTAATTGAAGAGTACCATGACATGGACGGATAAAAGGAGGGGCTAGGGCGTCTAGAGACGACGGTAGAAGGGAAGAAACCATTTTCGGAAGCGGCTTGAGTCTTGGACAGTAAATTGCAGTATGAGGTCAAGATTGAAGACGTCAGTGGCGAAGTTTTAATCTTATTCGATGCGGATTGGTTCTTTTGCAGTGAAAGAAAGGACGAATAAGGTTTTATTATCCAATGAAAAGAGCTTCAATGCAGACCTACCCCTGAAGAACCTTTTCACCTACTCGCAAGAACTGAACTTCAACTGAAGCCGATACTGAAACACTATTTGATCTCGTTTCACGTTTGTGTCGTCCTCAATTTGTTCCGTCTATGCATGTGAGACAACATATGGATTTATCGGATTGGACGATTTGTAGTGAAGCTGTTGTTGCAGTTTGTACTGCAAACACATGAGCCCAGAACGATCCTTTATGCTGAGCTTGGTACAGAACGTGCATGTCTGTTTCGCTCTGAAACGGACGGATCGAAGCAAAATTCCGCTAAAAAACGGCTACTGGCAAGCGCCAATATATTGTCTGACCTATTTATGGAGATATTTTTAGGGCGATTTTAATAATTAATTAGATAGTTGACATTAATTCTGAGCTTAAATTAGAGCTAACAAAAGGTAGGCGTTATTCATCAACCACCTTTTTCGTAACCATCCACCAGTGGTCAGAATGTTCAGTAGTTACATGCATGATACATGTAATACGTAATGTCATGTAGCTGCTCACATGTTGGATGGAAGCAGACCGTTGCACCATTTGCTGGCTTTGCAAACGTAAAACTTACAATCTGTAGCGAATGGCGCCAAGTTGTTTCTATTCTTCATGCCGTGCAGCTTTCGCTTATTCGAAGGAGGCCGATCATAGCGTCATTAATCTTCGCATCGTTCGTGTGGGCCTGCATTGCCTATTCTGTGAGCTACTTAGTCGATACTTGGCCCTTCGTCTAGCCATGTATGGATACAACAAATAGAGAAGTCGAGTTGTTGCAAAGTTACTGGCAATTCTCGCAATGCTCGTGATATTACTCAAGCAGCAAGTCGACAGGAATTCGAGCAGTTTGTCGAACTCTACAACAACTTTTGATACTGCAGTGTAGTGCTTAGCAATGCAACATGATCATCATGTGCATTATACTGAGAGTGCTTCTGTTATGTTGCGATAGCGATCGCTGTCTTTCTCTGCCAGATAGTCTGGATCATTAGCAACGCGCTGTCGTAGCATCTCCTTGAACTTGTTTTCAAACACCTTCGTCATCCCAGTTTGTGCAAGATGCGACACGACGCCATCCTTTAACTCCTGCCACTGCCGATTGTGCTCCAATTGAGCAGAGCGCACCGCCTCGTTTAGCATGTTGGCCAGCATCGTGCCCACTTCCATGTACACGTTGGGCATTGGCGATGCCGTCGTGCGGTAAGAGCGACTGTGTGGCTTAATGAGACTCTTAGAAGCAGTGGAAATGTACAGCTTGGTCGCGTCCTTGTCGATGGTCGTGAGCCAATCTTCCTGCTCGTTGCTTGGTACATGACGCTTCACGAGCTCCTGCCATGAGATTGGTGCTTGCTGCAACGAATTGGCACCACCTCCAAGCATCGGGTTGACACCGGCATTCCCACTAAACATTTGGGACATCAAGGGCATCATTTGAGACATCATTTGACCCAGATCCGGCATGTTGGCTGGAGGAATCACAGTGCTGGGGACTGACACTGATCCTTGAGACCATGAGCTTGATACAGCGGGGGTTGATATCGCCGCTGGTTGCTCCATGTCTTCCATCATCTCCATCAGCATATCGTCTGCTAAGCTGTCGAGCATTTCGTCGTCCGAGAGAGACATGTTGTCTAAAATGTCGTCGCTCATCTTGACGTCGTTATGAGCCAAAGCTACAGTGAAGAACCGTTTTAGTTGGCTACAAAGATGTTGTCACACTAGATACGAGCAGGATGGAATGTAGGATTAGTGGTAGGATGGATACCTGCAGTAACACTGAGGAGCTACGTAAAAGTGCTTCAGCTACTTCTTGCTTTTCTTAGCAGCCTTAATAGGTTCATCAACGACGATGATCTGGTCTTCATGAACACCAAACATCTCTGGTAGCACTTCCAATAGCTCAGTGACGCAATCGCCTTGCAGCTGAATCTGTTGCTGGCCCTGGTCCGTCTTTGACAACGACGAGCTGCACGCAAACTTCTTGCCCATACTCTTGCAAGCATCCTTTATGTTAACATCTTCAAAGTCCTCAAGACCCGTGACAAAAGTAAGACGTTTGCGTCCTTTGCGTGAGCTCTTGGATATAGTCACCATACAATTCTCTTTCCGCTTGGCCGCTTCTTCAATCTTGTTCTTCTTTTTCTTCTTGACAGTCTTGCCTGTCACTTCAAGTGTGATACCTTCGACACCAGCAGCAATCTGCTGCTCCACTTCCAACAGTTCCGTTACCGTACGATTGTACTTGGTTAGTATCAGATCCGGACAATGCTCAGCTAGCCAGGGTTTACACTCGTTAAACATAGGGCCGTACTCACAATACTCTGGCGGGAACGTGTCAATGGGACAGTAGACCACGTTCCGTAGCTTGGCCTGATCACCATTGTCACTCTCTTTCTCCTCTTTTCCCTCCTCTTGATGCACCTCTTCCTCATCGTCCGAGTCGCCAGGTTCTGGGCCGTATTTCTTGGTCAGTGCATCAAAAAGCTTCGACTCTTTACCCTTGTACTTGACCAGTACTTGAGCCACATCATCAACCTTTTCAGGGTTGTACTTGTGGTAAAAAGCCAGCAATCGCTGGTGATAAAAGCACTGTACTTCCTTTGACTCCAATACGTCCTCAGCGTCCGTTTCGATCTCTTTTAACGTCACAGCGACATCGAAACTTTCATCTGCAGTGGGCTCGGGGCCATACTTCTTTACAAGCGTCGAAAACAGCTGCGTCTCACGACCTTTGAAGCGCTCCAATACACTGTCAATTTCGTGCAATTTTTCAGCATTGTACTTGTGATAAAAGCGTCTTAAGCGCTCGTGATGCGGCGACATGAAGGCACCACGTTCTTCCTGCTTTGCCACTCGTTCCCTAAGCGGATTATACCTTGGAAAAGCGATATGGATTGGTTTGATGCATGTTTATATCTATAAACAAATGTATTAGTTTATAGAATACATAAGCATAGACAGATAAATACTTAACAGCCTTTAGAATTTGATAGAAAACTCCTCGCTCTTCTGATTGGTCAATATTCGGTAGATATGTGATGTTCCGCCACTTTCCAAGAAAGACAAGAGCTGAGCCGTTAGGACCTGTGCCTGCAGCTTAAATATCACTGCTATTCCTTCTTTTCATCCGCCATTAACTCGTCATCAAGTAGCGGCTTCAATTCTGATTCATTCAATACCCTATTCTTTATATCTAACCAACTACAGCACGGACAATTTCAAGTTGAAGCTATTGCTACACAATGTTATGGAAAAGAACTGATCTGGAGAGTTTAGACTATGGTAATGACTTGATTTTTGTATGATACATACTATATCACATTTCAAAGAGCTAACTGCTATTTATAATGTGCATTTGATTACTGTAGATCTATTTGAAAGCGTCGTAAACAAGTCCGGTATGGGCAACAAGGATCGCTATGGACAGGAAAAGAATCGACTCATCTATGCGCGCTGGTTCCTCACACTTATTACAGGCGTCATTACGGCACTTGTAGCGGTATTTATGCTCTACTTTACTACGCTGCTTCTATCGCTCAAGCAGCATTTACTCGAGTACACTATCCAGCATGAATTGGCCAAGAACGTGCTCTTTGGCACTACATTCTGGAGCATCGTAGCGTTCAATCTCGGGCTTGTGGCAATTGCTGCAACTGTCACTTCTTTTGGAGAGCCAGTAGCTGCTGGATCAGGTAATTCGTCGTGGATATTGTGTAAGAAGAGACGGGAGATGTAGTAATTTTCGGATATCTCATGTTCAGGTATTTCGGAAGTCAAGACAACGCTTAACGGCATGAAGATCCCACGTATGCTGCGTCTACGCACATTCTTTTGTAAAATCATTGGCACTGTATGCTCTGTTGCTGGTGGTTTACCAGTAGGAAAAGAAGGACCTATGATTCACAGGTAAGTTGAAAGGTGCTGCTACTTTATTTTTAGTTGGTGACGATAACATAAATTTGTTGCTGTTGTGTAGTGGCGCAATCGTCGCGGCAGGGCTTTCTCAGGGTAAATCGTCCACACTCGGCTACGACACGAGGTAAGCAGTATCTTGTTATAGCAAGAGAGAGATCCTTGTGTGGGAATGCTGACCGCAAACGCTCTGTAGCTTTTCCTATTTTGGAGGTTTCCGAAATGATAGGGAGAAACGCGACTTCGTTGCTTGTGGCGCGGCAGCTGGTGTTGCCTCAGCGTTCGGAGCTCCCATCGGTGGAGTTCTGTTCGTCTTGGAGGAAGGCGCATCATTCTGGAATCAGACGCTCACCTGGAGAACGCTCTTTTGCGCCATGTCAGCGACATTTACATTGGCATTCTTCCTCTCCGGAATGAACGATAACCTGTCATGGGGTACGCTTGGAAGTCACACGGGAAGCTTTAGCTTTGGGCCATTCACATCTAGCACATACCAAATCTGGGAGGTTCCACTTTTTATTATGATGGGCATTGGTGGCGGGCTGCAAGGAGCATTATTCAACGGTCTTAATACGCGTCTATCAAAACTACGTTCTCGTTGGGTGCGCACACGCGGAGTCGCGTGGATGGAAGCCCTACTGCTGTCGGTTCTGATCTCATCGCTCCTGTTTTCGACACCATTTCTGCTCGGCAAATGCCACAACCTTCCTCGTGCACGTGACGACGTCATTCATCTTGCAGACGCTGCCGGTGCCGCTTTGGCGCCCAACAAGGCTTTTGTGTTTGGAATGGAAATGCTGAAGAAGAATAGTTCAGCATGTATTTGTGAGAGCTGTGCAAGCGTGTCGATGGAAGGCGCAGAGTGCTTCCAAACTGACGAGACCGTGCAATACCCATACAAGAAAGAGTTGCTGCGCTTTTACTGCCCCAAAGGTCAATACAACGACTTAGCATCGCTGATGTTGACAGGAGGAGAAGTTGCAATTAAGCACCTGTTTCATGCACCACCAGACTCATTTGATGTGCGCAATCTTGTGGTATTTTGGCTCATGATGCTTCTCCTGGCTTGCTTAACCTACGGTCTCAAGATCCCAAGCGGCTTGTTCGTACCAGCATTGCTTATCGGCGCAGCTTATGGACGACTTTGGACTCGAGTGATTAATTACTTCACAGGGCTACATCAAATCAAACCTGTCGACCCACGGACGTACGGGCTTGTGGGAAGCCTAGCGATGCTTGGTGGTGTGACTCGTATGACCATCTCACTCACTGTCATCATTCTCGAGTGCACGGGCAACATCGAGTTCGGTCTACCACTCATTCTGACGTCGTTCTTCGCTCGCTGGGTGGGGAACTACTTTAACGAGGGCATCTACGATATCCATATTCACCTGCGCCGCGTTCCATTCCTGGACTGGAATCCTCCACTACGCGGCGCTTTCCTCCGTGTGAAGCACGTCATGACTGCAAACCCAAAGACACTGCGCACAGTCGAGCGCGCTGGTGTCATTTTTGATCTGCTCGTGAGTACGGAGCACAACGCGTTCCCTGTCATCGTGGAGGATCCAACGTTTGGGAGCTGCTTCTTTGCAGGCGTAATACTGCGAAAGCAGCTGAACGTCATGCTGAGCTATCATGATTTCAGCGTTGAAAAACCCAAGCCATTTCACCGTCAGCCACATCCTGCTTCTTATCAACCTGACGTAGCATCGATTGGTACCCTTCGCCACCGTCGCTCGAGAGATTTGGAAGCGAATGACACGCCCCGAGTTGATGATAAGTTGCTAGAGTCACCCCTTGCCAGCAATTATTGCTTATCGTACCACGACATGGAGAACCATTATCCGCGATACCCAATCCCGACTCCGATGCACCAGGGTTTCCAGGCTGCAGCTCATGCTGGTCGTATTGCTGGAGACGAGCTGTATACTCTGTCCGAAGAAGACCGAGCTTTGTGGGTGGATCTTACACCATACATGAACCAGACGCCGTACTTGATTCAGGAGGAAGCGCCATTTGTGCGCGCTTACCGTCTCTTCCGAAGCGCTGGGCTTCGGCATCTCGTCGTTGTGAACCGTCACAATAACGTACGCGGTATCATTACCCGACGCGACCTGGAGGAGGAACATTGTGCTCGCTGCTTCCGTCTGGTCAAAACAATTGACACGGACGACGTATATCCACTTTCTGGTGCACCTCCTGTTGGTTTCTTCCCCAAAATGCGCCACAAAGTCTCACGTACGGAGCAGGTAAAGCGTGCACTAATCAACTCGACTCCAAGTGCACGAGACGGAGAAAGTGAGAACGAACGTGACACTGCCTTGAACGAACTGCTCCCGCATTGATGGACATTTGTTGATATGTCTAACGAGATCGTTTGTATAATGATGGTCACCACGAAGTATGTAAAGGTTTCGACGTGCAGCGCCTCATTGAATCAATTGAATCGATTCCTCCTATATCAATCTCATGTCGGTCTTCCGACGATTTCTACCACAAAAAAGTTGCGATTTGCAGCGTCATGACCGGAAGAAAAAAAACGTCAACGGATGTACCGAGCCCACCACCACACTTTAATACGCACAGAGAAACTGTAATGAGATCAACCGTCGTACCACCGACTTCCACCCAAGTGTCGTTCAAGGAACTTCAGCGATTGCACGCTATGCGAATGGAGCTCTTCGGCTTTGGGGGCTGGTTAGCATCTGCTCTTTTCTATGGTACGTCTCGAGCGCTGAGACTGTATTGGGATCATGGAGTGACTATTGTGTTATGTGTAGTGCTGTTCTTAGTGTGGGCGTACGTGCCCGAGAGATCGTTAGAAGCTTACGGGTTCACCTACTTCCCGTCAAAACATTGGGCGGTGGCGGTGCCGGCGATGATTGTCGTGACGTACCTCTTCTCATTGGTGCTTTACAAGGCTATGAACTTGCTGTCCACGCCAAGCCTTCAGTCGTATGCTACGATCCTGGACACACATACGGTGCCACTGCCAGAAGGCTCGACATGCTTTGAAGATGACACAGAAGCTACCCCTGGGATTGGAGATATCTCCATCTTTGAAGTGAACCGGAACTTGTTTTCGCACGACAAGCAACTCAAAGAAGACTAGTTGATGAGAAACTATTGCACGACGATATCAAAGTAAATCCCAAGTGTCCTGACGATTGTTTTACTTGCTCTCTGCTGAAGTTTGACGACAGGATATGGATGATACGACAACGTCGAGCCACCAACTCGTCATCTGGATGCATCTACAAACCCATAGCATACTTCATGATCTCGTTCTTGAGCGGCTCTGCGGCGTTCAGCGTGCCCATGCCAATGTTGCGTGCTACAGACAACGCATCGGGAGTAGGGCCAAACATCCGCTTGAAACCGTCCATGGCCAACTGCATAGTGATGTTGGCCTTCATACGTTCGTCCTCGTACTGCTGCAGGAAGTACTCGCTTGATAGATTCTCACCACTCTTGACACCCTCAACAAGGAGATTGCTCAGAGACTGCACGTCACCTAGACCAAGGTTCAGACCCTGACCAGCAAGCGGGTGGATCGTGTGCGCGGAGTCACCCACAAGGGCAAGACCTGGCTTTATGTACTTGGTCGCGTGCTTCAGCTTGAGTGGAAAGGCAAAGCGATGACCCACTGTCGCCACAGCCTTTGGCGGAGCGACAAACGGATCCGATAGAGCCGCCGCCGACATGATCGTGTGTGCAGCGTGATGCACGCCCTGCACCAAGTCCGACAGCACTGGAATACCCGGAAACTCAGGAGGCACGGGTGTCATCGATGGGGCAGCGTAGGCATCATTCAGACGAGCCACGAATTCATCAGAGCTGAGCGCTGTAAGTTCTTTTGCCATATCAGCTGAGCACGACCAAACCACAGACGAGTAGCCGTCACGCATCGGCAATAGAGCCACAGGACCGGTAGGATAGAACCGTTGCCAAGCTGTCTCATTGACACGGTCGGTTTCAACCGTTGCAACGACAGCCTGCTGATCATAATCCCATCCCCAAGTTCCAAGAGCCGAGAGCGTACGAATAATGGAATTACCACCATCCGCAGCTACCACCAGGTCCGCCTTCATACGTTGTCCATCTTCAAGACCAATCTCAGAAATACCTGATACCGAAGTAGGACGCTGAAAGTGCTTGACTTTAGCAGGACAATAGAGTTTCAATGGAGCGCTGTCATCCGCGTCAGCTTTCAATTGGTTCATACGGTCGTGCAATGCACGCACCAGTACACGATGCTCCAGTACATAGCCCAGTACGTCCTTTTGCACCTTTTTCGCATCAAAACGGATGAATCCGTCCCCCATGGCGTCCCAGACCTGCATGTCTTTGAATACGGCCTTATTACAGTCAGCAAGGAGGTTCCAAGCACCAGTGCTTTCCAGTACCCGTTTACTGGCTGGCGTAATAGTAAACACACGAAGATCGGGTGAGTCTGTTTCTACAGACGGAGCAATAGGGGGGTGCTATGGTCTCAATGACTGCAACATTCTTGCCCTTGAATACGGGGCTACTTTTTAATTGACAGGCCAAAGCAGAGCCTATTATACCGCCACCTACGACAACTACGTCATAGTGTGGTACCTGTGTATCAAAAGGAGCTGTAGTAGACAGTAAACGTACTGACGTCGAGCGTGAATATCGTAGCGAGCGCGTTGAGAATCGAATGACGGAAGGAAGGACGACCATGATACTAACTGATGGAAGGCCTGTGGCTACGAAAGATGTTGGTACCGGAGATATTCTACTAGGTACGAATATGAAACAGCATTATTATGTTATGAAGGTGGAATTATACGATGGGTACTTTTAGTAGCCTGTAAAAACCGATTTAGTCCGTAACAAACGACTTACGAGGTTCTTTTTTTATAGGCGACGTAGTATGGGTAGCAGCATTTGTATTTATTTTACAGGAAAAAAACTCCTTCGGACGAAAGTATCCGCTATCAATAGTCAAATGGGTGGGGCAAAAGTCGTTCCTTGCTTACTAAATATCGATAGGATGCTTGGCTGTTTCATACTTCACCATACTGCCTATAAAATGGCACCGCACAATTCTCATAGGCATATATTCTACATCCGTGGCAGCACAAAACACATGTTGGCGAAATTCTGATAGGCTCCGACAAGTTTATACGGCGACAAAGGGTGCCACTTCCACTGATATATTTGAAGACTCGGTCTCACTGCTAGCAGTGAAAGTGGTACTGGCAGACTGAGCACAGCTTGTGGCTGTTGCAACAGCTAGCAGGCGGTCGGAAGAGGCTGACATATCTGATGGCAATGTCCTCATTTCCAAAAAGTCGCAGCTTTGAGGAGAGTCAAACGAGTCAATAGCATAAGGAAGCTCATTGTTCTCGTCCGAGCTCTCATCGTCACCCAAAATGCAGTCGGAGGCGTAGTCGATGCTCAGGTCGTCATATGTTCGTGTGTTGATGACGTCGTACGCGTCCATGTTTTCCATTGCAAACCGTACTTCAGAGTCCACGACCATGTTCCGACAACCGCCGAAAAAAAGAAATCCTCACTGCTATCGTTCATCATGTCGTCACCATGTAACTGTTGCACCGTCTCTAGACCATCGTCTTCTATCAGTGGTACCTCGCCCAGTCCATATTGATACATGAGATCGTACTCATTAGATTCCCATCGTTCCTGATTAATCCGAAGCGTATCACGTTCAATGTGGCTAATAATCGAAATGGAATGACCAGCATTCTCTAAGATATCCAGTCGTTCTTCTGGCTCCAGATAGCCCAACTCCATGTACTCTTGACGATCAACACGCTGCGTCACACGCTCAATCTCGTATGTGTCTAGAGGCCGCTTGGTGCGACATCGCACATCTACAGACATACCAAGCTACAAGTAACAAAAAAAAACCATGAGACAAGTAAAATCTCTTTACTTCTCTCCGACATAAAACTACAAACGTATTACTTACCGGTACACCTTCTGAAGAAACCGTGGCTGTCCACATGGTTGGTTCAAACTCCACAACGTCCGCCACATTAAAGCGTACGCGCTTCTTCGATGGCTCTTGGACGTCCAAAGACTTGGTAATCATCGTCTCTTGTACTGTGTAAACATCCTTTCCCTTGTTGCTTTGTTCAATATCACTTGTCCCATCTTCTTCTTCACATAATGCCTCACTCTGTGGTTCTTGTAACTCTTCAATTATCTTGTGTTTCATGACAGTTGCATGCTCATAAGCAGATGAAGAAACTTCAGCTAAAGGTGCCATTTTCTATTGTATAGTCGTCTATGGCCAGTTCAATTGTCTTTTTTTTTACACGGAAGAGGTCCCGGATGAGAACTTTGACGCAAAATGAATTGTGAGAGAAAAAAAGAAACGCGCTCTCTGCCTACAAATGCGGACCAAATTGGTATACAAAAACCAAGTACGAAACAAATGCGATTAGGGGATGACAACATTTAAACCAATAGAATAACGTTTCTTTCTGTCACTTTGTAACCGCTTCGCATCGATATACCCAACAAAACTTGTGGTCCCTGTCTCGAATGCTCAAAAGCCTGTAGAGTAATGCCTATAATTCGTTCGTTATCCACTACGAGCAATTCGTTTCATAAACTCGGTGGATGAGAGAATTCTGCCCTGAAAAGAGTCAGCTTGTGTTTCTCAAACGCAAATGCGTATACTTTAGGCTGATTAGCAGCAAATAGTCAGCATGATGCTTGAAAGTAGCTGCATTCACGTTCGTTCTTTCTCATTTGTATCGACTTCCAGGACGAAAATCGCATCCGAGAGCACATAATACGGTTGATGCATATCTCCACGACATAAATAAGGTACACGGGTGAAATGACGGAGCTTAAAGCCCGCAGGAACGAGCACATTGCGTAACAGTAGACTGGCTGCCACCTCAAAGGACGCGCCATCTGCACAGAGTCCACCCTGCATTGGTAGCTTCTCGGTGGGTGCAATCCGTTGTGTGCCCACCTCCACAAAAGCGGAGAATGGCAGTACTACTGCTAGTAGGAAGAGACCATTTTTTCGATCTAGCATTTCGCGGATCTCACGGAGCATCGTGAGTGGTTTGTCGGCTCGATCCAGTACATTAAGCATGCTTCATATACCCCCAACAAAGTAATCATGTGAGCACAACATGACAGCGTTACAAAGTCCAAAAAGAGTCGTCTCTCGGCGATGCCACGACGTACTGTACCTGATAATGTTGTAAGGCTTTCGTGACTGGACGAACTCGTGCTGCAAGTCGCAGGTTTGTACGCTATTGTAGCCTCGCGTGTTCAGATGAGCCACCATGGGAGCAGAAACCTCAGTCGTAGTCACTTGATCCACGAGTGAGGCCAGCGAGGCTGTCACATTTCCATCTCCAGCCCCAATGTCAAGCAGTGATCCACTGCTTGCTGCCACAAGTTGCTCGCGAGGAAAAAGTCGCTGGACTTGAGCGTACGAAAGCACAAACATCTGACCACCTGCGTCGAGATAAAGGAGAAAAGGATCGTCAGCTGAAGATTCACTAGTGCGGTGCCTGCAATCGGATACTGCATTGACACGAACTGGTTGTATGACATACGTCCAAGAATTCCATTCGCGTCGGTCAGGGAGTAGAAAAGTCCAAGAATTGTGGAGCCTAAGGATTCCCACAAACTTCCTCCTGTACATGTCTGCATGTGATCACAACAGGGTGTCAATTAGCACGTATTGACTGAGTTTGTGCAATTCAAGTATCAAGATTACGCACATCAATGAACGCTTTGGTCTCTTTGTCACAATCCAACTGCACAAATGTCGACTGCAAAGCAGAATCACTACACAACGATTACACTCTGTACAAAGGACGATATGACAAGATATACATGTGTCTTACAGCAGCAATGTGTTTACTTTATACTCTAGTGTGGGTCCGAAATGCGGCTGATGCGTGCGTCTTATCGCCTCTCTCACCCACGTCTTCATCGCTTGCACGTTGAAAGACACGACTGGTTATGACAGTGGCTCTTATGGATTGGCTATTTCGTTAGAGTATTTGATTCCTTATAAGTTATTGTAAGGAGCTTGTGGTAATTGACGATAACAATGACTATATAGCTGCTTCAGAAGAACATCTTCTCTCATTATAAACCTCGTCGTGTGTGATAGAGGTGCTGGTAATGGATACGCCGTGTTCAAGTTATAGGTCGAGGGTGATTTCGTACGAGTCTACAGGTGTTTTTGTTTCCATAACACTTAGTACCTCGCGATTGGTGCATGCGTCGTCATCATTGGTAACGTCTTCGGTGTTCACTAGCTTTGTATCAGTGTCGTCGATGTCTTCGTCATCGTCTAGATCAATCTCATTAGGGTCCTCGACAGCCACTGCAATCAAATCGCCGCCAACAAATGGTGCGGTAACGACATGTGGAAGCTTCAGCAGCTCCAACAAAAGGTCCGTTTGAGGATTGCCCGTCGCTACATGTGGCCCCTCTTCTTCACCGTGGCCTGGTACGGTCTTCACGAAATCAGTGATCCATTCGCCTTGATCCTTGTCTAGTTTCTTCTCTGCAACAAATTCCTCAAGGCGCTGCTTCACCCAAGAAATGTCCTTGTCTTCAATTTTCATTTCCTCTTGCGGCACGCGCGGCGCAGATTTGTTGGCTGAAGCAAGATGGTGTGTCGCGCGCAGGATAGCAAGCCATTCCAAGTCGAACATAATCTTTGGTGGCGACGAACGTTTTGTACTCGGACTAATCTTGATAGCCTGATCAGATTCAGTGACATCCTGCTTAGCGTCGGTCACTAACACGCTGTCACTGTCTATCTTCTGCTCTTCCTTGGATGTAGACTCCATTGCCAAAGAAGGCAAGTCCAAAATCTGCATAAACTCTCTACGTGGGAGGCATTTGTCAAGCGCTAAGAACTTGGTCGTACTTGGCCAGAAGGACGGCTTGGGAGCTGCGTATTGCTCGCCACTCGGCTTGACCTTGTCAGCCTCAAGTGTTTTTTCACCATTTGATACCATTGCTTCACTACTTTGTCGATCTGGATGAGTGACAATGGCAGAAAACTTGACATGCAAGTGTGCGGCAAACCAATATTGTGGACGAAGCTGATACATCAGAAACTCGCCAGCAGGACTACCGAGTGTGTTCGTCCTTATCTCCTGCTCAAAGAATGGTTTGCGACGTAGTAACTGCTGTACATTACCGTGCTGCTCAATACCTCGAGGCCAATCATGCGATAAAAATGCTCCTACTGGTATCTTGTCTACCTGCTGCAAGTGCGAGAGCTGAAAGACTTCGAGTTCACGGACATGATAGACACTCCGCATAGTGTTGTTGTCAAATGGCAGTGCCTCGAACCTTCCTGCTGTATAGTGTTGCTGTTTGTAAATACCCGAAAGACCTGCAATACGCAGTCCTGCAACATTGATCGCACCTGCTGCACCCAGATAAAAGATGTTTGGTGCTACCCAACCGCCATAATAAAGCTCTTGTAAATACCCCGAAGCTTCATGATTCCCACCTATAAAGACAGTGAGCACAGGAGCCCGTTTTTCTTGAGTATAGTACCGATGAAAGGCATGCAATGCTCGATATTTGATCGGACAGGCCAGCGTCTCCAAGTCGCGCAGATTGCGCATACATTCGAAATCACCACAGCACAGCAAGAGTTCTACAGGATTGCTAGGTTCCATTTCATTGACGAAATTGACAGTTGCATAGATATCGTCCAGCATACCATGAGCGCACCCTACGACCGCCACGCGCACCATTGGAGATGAGGAGCTCTTAATGACAGAGATTTACTAAGTAAAATTATTTTACTATCCAGATACCGATTTCGTAAAACAATATGCTTTCAAATTCTACCAAGTAGAATGTATAGAATGGTAGTATAGCTGTTTTGAGGTAGAAATTTAGAAACGTTAATATTATGTGCTCGCAATAGGGTGGCGTTATTTATCAACCACCTTTTTAGTCCCATCAGCCCCCGTATTTTTATTAAGATCTGATTGTTCATAGTGCGTCACTAAAAGTACGAAAAAGAGCTTATAACATTACGGTTTTTATGAATAGTAGAGTTTCTAATTTAATGCTTCTATTGCTGCTGCTGTTGCTGCTGCTGTTGCTGCTGCTTGTGCTTGACGATGACAATGCTGTTGGTGCTTGAAGACGTTGTGTGTGACCTGTCTGTTACGATAATGATAGTATTTAATATTGTTGTTCGTTCAGTAAATGAATATTCAAAGACTACCTACATCGCATAAGTACAATCTATTGGCACGAATTGACTACTGTCTAGCACTTAAGAGTCCTACACATTAAAAGAGCCCTTATGCGTCTACATCTCTAAGCATTCAAGCAAGCTAGTCTTCCACCATTCAAAAAAGACATTTCAAGCACAGACATCCATCCAAGTTTTGACTTTCTTCGTACCGATCCTTTTTGTGTATTTGAATGCAACGACATAGTCTTCCTGGCCATTAGTTGCGGTTCTTGTTTGTTACAGGAAAGCATAGGCAAGATGCAAAGATATACTGTAGTTGTGGTTTCTATGGAGATGAAAAGTCTATTTCTACTTAGAACAAAGACGAATGGAAGCATTGGATTATGTTAACGATACGACGATTGTGGTGATTGGCTCAAGGGGTCACAAGTAACAATCTTGTAGGAGCACCCGAACATGACGGCTTCGCGCATGTTAAGCAGATGCACCGACCGTAAACTGCGTTTGTTGTGCCTGCATGGCATGTACCAGGACGCAATCACGTTCATGGCTAAGACAAAGCATCTGCATGGGATCAACTCGAATGTGGAATTGATTTTCCTGAACGGGCCCTTCATCACCGTGCCGCCCATTTTAGCGCGTCAAAGCAAGCGACCTAGTTCAGCTTCTAGCAAGATGAAGCACATACACTCTAGTAAGAAGAAGATGGAATTTCGCGCGTGGTGGCGGCTGCCGGGCATTCACCAGAAAGACTCTAGCAGTTTGGACGGAGACCGGGACGTACTTATAAACTTCCTCCGTGAGAAGCTGGACGAGATCGGAGACGTAGATGGAGTTGTTGGGTTCTCGCAAGGAGCGAGTCTTGCGGCGTGGATGTGCTCAGAACAGGTACGTAAAGGGCGAGAACCGAAGTGCATAAGCGGATGAGGCAAAAACTCTGACACAGTTGTTGCTTGCAGGCCTGCGCTGAACTGCATTGGTCACCGAAACTGGCCGTGCTGTTTGGAAGCTATCTAAGCTCACCTCAGTTCTCGTTGGACTCGGGCGTTGTCCCCGACATTTCGTCACTGCACGTCTTCGGCTTGAACGACTACGTCATCCCGGCTGCCAAGAGCCAGCAAGTGATGGACATCTTTCAAGAGGTGCGTAATCTTCTATCACGGTATTTTTGTGTCAATTGTATTGATGATTAACCGATCGTCTGTTGCTTACAGACCCTTGACAATCGCGTGCTGACTTCGGTGCACGCCAAAGGCCACGTAGTTCCCAAGTGTGATGCGTTCAAGCAGCTGTTCAAGTCATTTCTGACTCTCCAGAACATGAGATGACGTCGTAATAATTCCTTTGATGTGTGCTAAAAGTAGATCGATAGAAGGAAACCGGTATGACATATAGCAGTTTGTAGATCACCTTTTTGTAGAACAAATAGATCCGAGCCATGTGTAATTATGTCGAATTACATAACTCTATATAATATATCTACTTTCTACCAATTACATAGTCTAAAACCACAAAAAAACCCGCTCGACCAGTGGAAATCAAAGGTGTAGAGAGAGAGAGAGAGAGAGAGAGAGTACGTCATCATGTCTGCTGAAGAAGTCGCCAAGGCGTTTGTGCAGCACTATTACACCACGTTCGATACGAACCGACCGGGACTTGCGAGCCTCTACGTACGTCACCGCTCAATCCTTTTTTTATAGAATATCCAAGTGATTAATGAAAATTCTTGTTACTTTACAGCAAGATGTATCTAACATGAGCTGGGAGGGTCAACTGTCCACGGGTCAGCAAAGTATCATGGCAAAGCTTCAGGGGTTACCCGTGGTACGCCATGAGTACCCAACAGTGGATATTCAGCCGTCCACATCGGGTAATGCCATGATTATCTTTGTGCAGGGCAAGATCCAGATCGAGGAGAACAATCCGATTCAATTCACGCAGGTGTTTCAGCTCGTGTCCCATCAGCCTGGCCAGTACTACATCCACAATGACGTTTTCCGTCTTCAGTATGGTTAATGATCCAGTCGCTACTTTAGTTTCGCAGTCGCCAGGAGACTTTATCTCTATTGCCACTAGCAGTACGTCTGAAAGAGATGAAGCTATGGGACAGAACGATGCTCTAGGAGTTTGGCGTGAAGTGAGGAGGAGGTTTTATCAAGAGAAGACAATTTACATGCAGTGACTTGAGCTACTTGACTGTGCGTTATTTTGACGATTGGGAACAATGTAGGAGACGGAGGAAATGGTGAATAGATGCCTTGTCCTCGATAAACTAGATTTTGGCAAACCGGTATCTGGTCTGCATTGCTGCAATTGCAGCTAATCGCATTTGGTGCTGTTCGTTGTGCAGGCTTGAAAGAGTGTTGACCAGGTGGGGCAACGTTGTTCAGCGCTCTAACTACTAATTAAATCAGGCCTTGCCTGCCTGCAGAGAGGCCGCATCTAAAAATTGATTCTGCTCGCCAGATTTACTGCATGGAAAAACATGCTGTTCGAAGAGCTTTCCCGTGTGAGCTACTAGGCGCTAAGCGCTGAGAGAAGAGATGTGACGTGTCTGTAAGACTTCTTTTGTGAGTAGAATTGTGAACTGGTTAGGTCCTTGCCAATTCGGCCTCATTGACCGAGCTAGTTACAGTTATGGCTTGATACACATCCATGTACAAGCGCCTGGAAGCTCAATGTCAAGAGCAGAGCAAACGGCAGCACCAATACGATGACGCAACTAACTGGATTAAAGAGGACACTATAATCCAAAGAGATGGATACAATGCCATCGCCTCTATATTATGGAAGTAAGATGCCATACGGTCGCCTCGATTAATAATTGATGACATCAATGACAAGAGCACTTAAAGAAGCATTTTACTAATATCAATCGAGCACACGATTCATTACAAAACTCAAGATTCTTTTGAAATGTTGAGATGATGAGGGGTTCGACCGAGTGTAGTCGCTAAGTTCGTATACGTCCCGTTTTGAGATTTATACCGCTTCGAAGCGGTGCTTTGATACATTCCTTTCAATTCAAATGCATTTTCGTAAAGAGTTACGATCAGACCCCCAGTGTATGGATCATGGATCGGATATGGACCTGATCGATATTATAATGGTCCATCAATTATGAATGTTCCATGTCCATGATCCGCGGATATCCTCATTTACACAGGAAATTTGTCGACCAGCAAAACATCGTAATAGTTGGTGACATAATGTTGTTTCTATCGGACTACAATACCAGCTATCTAAGAAATCTCGTTGTAGGAAGGCTCGGATGAAAACCTCGATAATACGTAGGAAACCGTTGCTTTCCCAAAACTTACTTATCTAATTGGATTGACGTCTAAAGGGCCCAAGATTCCTGTACCATTCCTTGAGACAAAGAACTTTTTCTAGATTCTCCGGAGAGAGGGCACTTCTGTCCCATCTAAAAACCCGTCTGCCCTGCGAAAACACTTGTTCGGATGGGGCGCTGGTTGCCGGGATTGCAAGATAATAGCGTGCCATCCGAGCTAATGTCGGGAACTGAAACTGGTGGATCTTCCACCATTCCAGCGGGTCTTGATGTTTGTGGCCTTTTCTTAAGGAGAAATAGGAGTTGATTTCCTCCTTCAGCCGGTCAATGCTCTCACCTTCCTCTGGCTCTGTTGCAGATGAGAAAAGCCTGTCCATTGGGTCCAATGGCTGTGAGTCGGCTATTGGAGATCCGCCAAACTCAGGGTCGTCTCCAACTTCGTTTTCCACCTGGACTCGAAATTTCGATGCTTCATTGCCGAAACGAAGCTCAATGGCTTCGGGGGTATAGCCAATCGTCCAGAAATGTCGCGGCCATGTCGCAGAGTCCCGAAACCATTTAATATTGAATTTTGGGTCCAGAATTGTTGCAAAATAATTCGATTCCTGCTTGAATGCCTTATTCACGTATTTCTCGAGTTTCTTGTGCATAGCTCTCGAAACAGGCTCCAGGTGTCTTGCATCGTACTCACGGAAAATCTAGTAGAAAACATGTTAGTCGAACAACAAACAATCGTCGTCAGGTATTTGTGCGTAAGTTAAAAACGCTGACTTACTCGATCGACGCTTTTCCAAAGATAGGAATAAACTGGGACAACGACAGAGAGGGTCGGATACTTGTCGTCACACACAATCTTCGTTGCCCATTCCAGAGGCTCCAAGAATCGGTTAACTTGCTCGAGCTTAATCCATTCTTTGTTATCTAGATGGTACTGCTCAAAATTGTCCATCGTGGCCGTCATATAGGTAATACTTTTTCTGTTTTGTCAAGAGTTCGAAGTTAGAACATAATTTTGGAATGCCGTGAAGGTGTTTCAGTACACCGCAATGCTGAAGTCACCATAATCTCACCGCAACTGGAGTGCCCGTAAAAACATTTGATACGTTGAGTTCCATCTTGTGCTGACATCACCGATAACCGCAACAGCGTGGGAGTTTGGTTGCTGCAGCTTTACGGCGCATGCAAATTGCTCTTTCCTTTGCGTGCTCCCATTGACAAAGGTAGCAAAGCCCTTGATCCTCTGGTAAACAGTTTCAATCGAGACATCTGCACCGTCTGGGCGATCCACGATGGCGCCAATGCTAAATTGAATTACCACGCCAATTCAGAAATATAGCTGAAAAACAATCGAAGTACATTGTTAAGATGTTTAATGCAGATGTTACATACCTCATAGCAGATCTTTCAACGACCACTTCATCATCTTCATCGTCATCCACTATTCCAAATTGGGCAAGGCCGTCTCGAGCAACAAGCTTCAAGACATGGGCAACACATATGTGCATCTTGTCTTCTTTGTCAAAGATGACATCATCTCGCCTTCCAAAGGCTTCAAAAAGAGTAGAGTTATTACTCCCGTTGTCAACTGTTGCATGACCGTGGACGTTGAGAAGGCCAAAATTTTCGGCGACCATCTTGTAATAATATTTCTCGAGATTTTTCCCTTCGTGAGATCCTGCAATGGCAAACAACAGCCGCAAGTCAAAATGTTGGATTGTACATGCGCTGCAATCCATTTCAAAGAAAATGACCTTCAACATTTTTTAAGCCTAGAAGACTTTGATGGAGCTCAAATTTTGCATCAACCCAGTGTCCAGTCAAGCTCAAGAACCCGTAGTTTTTTCCTTTTGTCGTCCAGCAATCCGTCGTGAAATGAATAACGTCGACTCCTCGAATGTCCTTTTTCATTTTTTCGATCACAATATCCCTAGTAGCGATATAAATGTCGGTGGCGTGATTCTTCAGAGCCTCTTGTTGAACCAACATGCTCTCAGCCTTTTTGTTGAGAAAGCCAATTAGGTCGTGAAAAGATTGCTTCTCCACGATGCTAAAGGCTATATCTGCATCGGCAAAGAATTCAACGATCCTGGTTTTCAAAGTGTCGGGGTTGAAACGTTCCTGTGCAACAATGACGTAAGCAAGTAACAAATAAATGAACACATCAGTTGCTGAAGAATCAAAGAATGAAACCAAATCCACGCACAACGTACCTCCATTGATTGAAGTTGCATATTTTCTTGCACAACTCCATCGAGTGCGTTATTTCTACCGTAAAGAGATCCGTCCCGATTGAGGTTATGCTGATCTCTAAGATGTCTTGTTAAATTTGAGTTTCCTAATCCTTCAATAACTTTGAGCTCCTTGCCGCATTTGTTGCACTTGTATGTCTCAACCCATCGGGTTGTGTTTCTCTTTTGTGGATGATCTTCTCGGATGCTGCTCTTGAGATGAAAGTGTTCATATGCCCGTGATTTTCTTTTTTACTGGTCGCTCTTGAGACTACCTCTGCAATTTCTGATCGCTTGTCTGCTTGTCTTTTAGATCCCTGACGTTCCGGATTTCGAGCATCAACGCGGCGAGCACGTTCCTGAGACCTGACGATGCCTTGTGTGTCCTGGCTTTCCCGGGTTTTCCTTGTATCATCCATGTGTATAGCAAGCACCTGTGGATTTAGATGAACGGTACAAGGATGGATGAATAGGTGGATCGGTGGATAGATGGATGGATGACTTACCTTATAAAACTTAACAAGACGAAAAGCGAGTGTAAAGAGATGGACAGATGGCAAAACAGTATCGATTTGTAATGAGTACTAAATTAGAAAATGATTGATCCATGGAACGTATATGGAATTATGGATCTGAAACAGCTTTCGATCCAAACTTCATTATTATGGATCTGGATCGTCCAATTTACATGGACATGGATGGGAGTCTTGCTACGTTGCGCCGCAGCAACATTCAAGCAACATTTAGTATTGGTAAGAAAAAGCTGTTAATGTTAGTGTCGGCAGCACACTATATAAAAATCAGGTATTTTACAGCCAGTCAACGAAGACTCGCAAAGAAGGAGGAGGCCACACGATGGTATAGTAATGCTACTGAGAGAGACCTATTGAGTCAATACACTGACTAGTATATGTATCTATGCACCATAGGCGGAGTTCCGACAGGCGAAGCATACAATCATCTTGGTGCAGTACACGCGTGACCCGAACTCACGCACGTATCTGGACTTTGAATCGGTGAACGGCGGTATGGACGGCGTGGTAAAGATGTATGAGGCGAAGCTGAAGCAGTTGAATCCAGACTTGAAGAACATTACGTACGACATTCAGGACCTGTATACGTACATTGATTCGCTCACGGATCTTAGCGCTCTTGTGTTAGACCTTGAGACCAAGACATACCTGCCCTGTGGCAAGGAATGGATCAAGAAAAAAGTCTTTCAGGTGCTGAAGAATCAGGCCGCATAAGTAGATCAAGTGAGAAAGAAAAGCTGAAGTAAGCTGTTTGATAATATGACTGAGACGTCGACAGATGATGGAGCTTGATATTTCACGTGATAGAGCTTGCCTCGTACTACACGACGACAACTGCTGGACCACTAGCACAATTGAGAAACTCAAAACTTTAGGAATGCAGTAAGGCCGTCATGAGCTGCCTAGGAAAAATGAAGAGAATTATTATCACAGCGCAGAATATCGCCACAAGCTGCACTAGTTTAAGTAGCTCCAGCATTGCCAACTACAACCAAAATAGCTCCGTTCTGCTCACCTTGTACAACACATGCCATGCGCGACGTCGTTGCTTGACAACAAGCAATCATTAAATATTTGTACACAAAGAAGAGTTCACATGGGGATAGTCCAACAGAGATACTGACGCAAGAATGCAATAGAGTAGATTGGCGGTATGAGTCTCGCGATCGGTAATTGAATGTTTAGCAATCGAGGTAATTGGCCGCCATGAGCAGCTCCATGGCAATCTCCGGTTCAATGGCAAAGTCAGGTAAACGTGATGTGCTGTCCGAATATTGTGTCTTGTAGTACATGTACTGCGACACCTTTTCCAGGATGGGGGCACTAATGTCTGGGAATGTGATCTCGCCCTTGCTCTCGGTGAAGTGGCCTGCAAGCACAAGTGTCAGTGCTACTTCACTAATAATGTATTCAATTTTCTAATGAACGTACCACTCAGCATCGCACGTATCGTTCCCGACACCATTGCACACTTTCTGCTAATGTAAATCTCGTGGCCTTCAGCGCTGGGGTATAAATTATCACATAACGACGATGACTTGAGCATGTTTTTAATCGATAAGTGCAGCGTCTGTAGAGAGAATTGCGAGCTCGAAATGAGACAAATGCACGCGTCGTCAATAACTTTACCTTATCAGCTTGACCATGTCGAGTGTAGGGATGGCCATGTCGCCTGCTTCCTGCGTCATGATTCACGTGCTACGCTAGACTAATTGACAGAAAGAAAGACTGACCGGAGACAAGTCCAGCGCACTGGAAAGATTACACCATTTAGCGATTATCGCTATTTCGTAGCAGTCATTCCAGGTCAATGCAGAACTTACCATTCTTGAGTATTGTGCTCATTTTTATTTAAAATGCCGAAGGGCAGTTCTTGTCTATTCCGGCAATAGCCACCGTACATCCAACATTGTCTGCAATGCATAACTGTCACATTGGCATCTCCTGCAATTTTAAGTTTGCATTCTTACCATGCTCTTGTGACTTGTTTTAGGAGTAAGAAAGTGGAGAGTATTTGGAGGTCCTTGCCACAGTTTAAAGTACAGTGATCATGGAACATTATCACAAGGTAGGCGGTCGGCTTGATGCAATTATCTTCCTGCCGAACATAATTGCAAGCGTGTAGCTTCTGGCTTGTATTTCATACTTGTAATGTCTTGCATGCTTTTCCTTTTTACTTTACCACTGGACTTGCACATGTGAGGAAATGAGCTGCACCTTGTCGGAGCAACTTGTGTAGTACGACAAATTAGCGACAATCTTTGCTGGAAGTAGCAACACGATAGCTGTTGCCGCCATATCATTGAAAGGAAGACGATATCCTACAAGAAAGCTCAGGTACACAAGTCCAGGGAACACCAAACGCGTTACAGGAACATGAATGCCGTAAGAGAGAATGGAAAACATCCAGGTCAAGACTAACACTATTGCTATCAGATCACAAGATGTTGAGTAGTAATTAGAATGGATCTCCGCGGCGCGACCTTGGTACGTTCGGTCAAACAAGGAGGCCGGACCGTAACGACCTCCGACTTCCTTTGGTGTACTTACCTAACTGTCCCATGCTGTTACTAGCTCTACGACTATTTATCATGTCATAGCGATGTTAGAGCCCTCTTGTTTTTAAAAGCTCGAAATACCATCAGAATGGCGCAGATACAGGTTATTGGCAGCATATAGCACGCAGATGAAGCGCGCAACAGTCATGTACATTGTCCCCCGGCAATGATAATGAGCGACACGCTTACGGCAAAAAAGAGGAACATTCGAATCGTAAAGGTGTGCTCATTGTCAGCGCATGCATCGGTTCGTGCCATTTTTGACAACGCTCATCGTCTTGAGCATCGTCAATCAGAAAAACATTGCGCAGTGGAACCACGCCGACTGTCACCTATTCGTAACGACATCCTGCCGAAAGCTGCAAAGCTTTCCAACTCTCTTTCTGCAAGACCTAGCTAATGAACCGGCTACATTGCAAAGTGCATCCGCAACAACGCCTTCATCGAGAAGGAGACAGAAAGGCACAGACCTTCATTTTGATTTGTTATATGGGATTTCGACTGAAACCCTGCTTAGATCGCCTACCTGACATACTGTGTCTGCTGGGCGATCTAAGCTGATGTTTCATCTGAATGCGACATAAAAAAGTAGATGCAAAATACAACCCCGCAAGTAGTTTTTTTTCGTCACTGTTTAGTGCTGCTATTGCAACCTTGATCACTGTGCACGTTCTTCGTGTATTGGTCCCGCCAATACTGACAGTTGGCATTGTATATGTGGTCGTCATTGCGGGAGCTTTGCTTTTCATCATATTTGTGATTATGGACTGAATCTGTTGATGTGTGTTTGCGGTAGGAGACTTTGCCTTATAAAACCGTGGGAGGGAGGTAGTAACGCAGTCGTATCAGGTCACAGACCTGCATAATCTGGACGGTTGCAGCTTCAAAAGTTGTCACTTACTTTGATGTGATGTATCAGCTCAGAAATTAAGCAGTACTTCATCGACAATGCCACAAGCACGACACTGAGAGATCTCGTCTTAGCAGACGCTTTATTGCAAACTCTACTACCTCCCATATTCATACTAAGGTACAATTATCGCAGTGATTTTCAACGATCGTACAGGATCCACGGCCTTCAGCTGCTTGTAAACGAGATGTTGCAGGCGGCTAGTGAACATCATGGCTATGGCTTCTTTCAAAACCCAGACAAGATGTTTAGGTACACAGTGGTCTGTGCAGCCATTTTGACGACTTCAAAGATAAAACACCTAGAGAAGATGAAGAACAAGAGTCAGAGAGGTGACTCTAAACTGGCCGCCCTCATTTTTGAAACCTTAGTCCGTCTTCTGTCAAAGCGAGGAAGATCACAAGCCTACGATGTAGTAGACGAGTCGCAAAGTAAGATACCTGGTCTGGTCATGCGACGCCAGCGCGTAGCATTACAATTTGCAAGTATAGTGACCAGTTTCTCTTGTCAAATCCAACGCGTGCCAACGCGTGCAGTGGCGATACAAGATGACGTTCACAATTGGCGGCAAGCCACTCGCTTCAATGTACTCTTCCTGATATTTTGGTAAAGCTTGTTGCCACGTTGATATGCGCATGGATGCGGGTAACAACTTTCTCTTGGACATCGCAGGACAAGCACCTACCTGGTAAATTCATCCCCGGACTTACCTATCGGGTCAGAGTTGCACGCGGCACCGCCACTACGCCTACGACAGGCACCACCATGTCTCCGCAGTTTTCGCTGGAAGCTTCTCGGAGCAGGCCTTATCGAAGGTCACTCGACGGATATCAAGCACGGCCAAACTCGGCCTGTCACTCTGCACCAAGCTGATGATGGGTTACACTGGTTTTGTCACGGCTTCCTGCCGGAGCTCACTGTCGGTTCGCCATCGGAACGCCAGGCGGTCTGTCGTGAGATTAGAACTTGGGGTCTGGTATTCGAAGCGCACCCGCAGCTGCATCGGTTTCCTTGGTCTGTGCCGACCACAACGTCTAATCACTTCGTTACAAAGGCCTTAGGCAAGCAAGCTTTCCGGTTCCATAAAAAGGTTCTCGCTCGCCAACTTTCCGTTCTCATTGATTGACTGTCCAAATCTGCAACGACGGATGAATGGCAATGCGCAGCGCTCCGGCAAACGCCGAGGCAAGTGTGGGATCATAGTAATGGACTCACACCGTATCAAGTCTGGACAGGGTACAGGGTGGCGACCAGACAATTAAATCTGTATCACGCTACGAGGTACGAAAATAATAGTTGCAGAAAGGCACCGGCCTGCAGCGGCAGTGAGGAGACCATTGGTCATCTGTTTTGGGACTGTGCCTGCGCTGCAGCGCTATGGGGCAAACTTATTGGTCACTGGACTGGGCAACAAGTTACCCGCCAAGCGACCAAACACTTTGTGGTGGCCTGTGCAAGCCGAAGGGTTCACAGCATACCCGAGCACCGTATGCAAAGTCTAGCGGACCGATTTCAGGATGACACGGATGCAGCCGAACGTGTCTGGACGCGAATTTGGCACGTCTTGGCAACGATATGTCACACACGGCTATGGGTCGACAGAAATGCCGCTGTCTACAAGGCAGTCCCGCTCCACCTTCCCAGCAGCATAGCCAGTTTTTGGGCTTCGTGCCTTTGTCAGCTCCGAGCGATCGCGAAGAGAGAGCATCAAAAAGTTGCGTCCGCCACAACGGGTGCTTTGCTATATGCATGCATCGAGTTGCTCGAGCGCGAACCTAGAGGGCCACCGCTTTCAACGGTGACCAGCCATGATTTACAGTCGGGCCAACCGGCGTTGACATCCTGGCTCAGGACTTTCCAGAGATCTTGCACATAGTTAACACCATGTAAATAGACGATCTGAACAACCACCTACCTGGTAAATGTGGAGCAAGTTTTGTATACGCTTGACGTTGCTAGCATGTCGAACAAAACGCCCAGATGCTGCTAGTCTATGGATTCCGCCTGCTCCGTGCTGGAAATAGTATCCTAAGCTGCAAGGTAGATGATAGCAATTGAATAGCAACAAAGCCCATGCCATCGTGAAGCATGAAGCGCAACCTGCTAAAGCGTAATGATGCATATGTCAGAAAGCGTTGATGGGCTTAGAGCAATATACACGTAGCAGATCCGCACCATCGATATACAACAAAAAAGGAAAGAGCGTACTATTGCTGCGACCGTCGTACCAGTCTGTAAACTTGATATTTACAGACAGCTCTGCTAATCCCCTTCCTTTGCGTATTATCCTTTCCGTCAAATTGACTCGATACCAAGCATTTGCTTCATTGTTGCAAGGAAAATCTTGATTCAAAACGTTTGCTCATTAGTTGCAGGAAATTTTTCATTCATTATGTAAAAAGCAGGTAATGGGCCCTTGTGTCGACTTTATAATGACAAAAAAACAGACACCTCTGCTGGCTCCACAGGATCACCGAGTATTGTCTTACTTCGCTTCAAGCCTCGATCATGACCCACAACACACTTGAGAGTCTCAAGTCGAGGCGCTTCAATTCGTAGTGCACACGCTACAAGTACATTCGTGACTTTCGACCCACAGCCAACTTATTAGCTATTCTTGCTTCGAATGGAGCCGCTGCAGACATATCTAGGGAAAACTATGACGCGAGTTAAGCGACGCGGTGTGGCCTCGGGACGACTGCCTTCTTTTGGATTTTGCGGAAGGTCCACAGAATGACCCAGATGCAGATAACCTGAGCAAACAACACGGTAACGACCGTGGCAGTTAGACGCATACACACACAAAATCAACGGAACAGGTCGAGCATACGGTACCTGAAAAACGTGAAGCACATTCACGGAGCACTTAACGCTTTCGCACAGCTTGCCATTCGCGCAAGACAATTCGACCGGGGTTACGTTTGTGTGGTGGATAGCAATGTACATCTGGGCGGCTATGACAACGAGCGAGCACGTCTCCACCACTAACAGAATCTTCTTGATCTTTGCAGCGTGGCCCTCCTCTGGACGACGACGCACCTTGCGCATCACAGGGATGCCGTCTTCATCGTCACTCATATTCATGTCGAAGGACCGGTTAGACACCATGCGGTCAGATTGTAAACTCGGCATGCGTAGCTTCAGCTGTCGCTCGTATTGCTTCAGACGACTCAGCACACGCAGCCCATAAATGAGAAAGACCGTGCTGATGCTACCCAGCATGCACGCACTCACAGTGAGCTGCATGTAGACTAGACCCTGCGGGTTGAAACCTTTGAACAGGAAGAGGCACATGTCGTACAGGATCTGGAACGTCCAGACAACGGCGATAGCAATGCTTTCTAAACATACAAGATGCGGGGGTTTGTCAGTCACCGCTGCACCACGCTGGATGATGGTGGCCCAGTAACCCAAAGCCATGATGCTGTACAATCAGAACGAGCAGTGAAGAGGCCGTTAGGACTATGGACAAACAGAAGGCAAGGAAACAATGATACTTACTACACGGAGTAGAGGGCAGCGGTGCACGTATCGGCGAGGAAGGCGCTAATCGGACGCGGGATTACATACCCGTAGCTTAGTGGATCGGCGCCACGGATAACCATAGTTACGGCACCGTAGCAGCAAAACAGAAAGCTGTACTGTTGTAGCAAAGCGCCCTCATGCTTCACAGACCGAATATAAAGAATAACGCTAGCAGCAACGCTGATTCCTCCCAATGCCAGATAGACGGCTTGGATGGTACGGTACGCGTCAAGGTCGTAGGACGCTAGCGTTCGAGTGCATCCGTCCTCTGTGAGTGCGAGTCCAAAGTCACACGTCGAGTCAGTGATGTTGACCATTCTGTCGTAACCTGAGCTGTCTCACGAAAACCTGTCGGGTGAATAATATCGCTCTGTGCTCGCTCAACCTACTAAGGAATTCGAGTCCTGTATATCGCGCCGCCTATTGACCTGTCGACGACCACAAGACCTGAGCGTAAATTGCTCGGGCTTCTTTGCGAAATGTCACGACCAAAATCGTTTTTGTACATGACCGGCGCACGGTAATGGGCTATTTATCATACAGAGCACAATAGACCATGTCTGGAAACCACATGGACGACAGCTTTGATCATCATGATGGGGAATGTCGTGATAACTACCAATCCGAGCCTTTCGTAGTCTATAACTCAGCAAATTTTTGACTTGTCTGCTGCACATATGCAAGCGAAAAGTGGACTACAACTTGTATTGCAAATTCAATTGGTTTATTCGACCAAGCAAGAGCGCTCTATAGACCTGCTAAGACCTGCTAAGACCAGCCAAGTTGGCCTTTAAATCAAGAAGAACTTGGTCGCAATAAGTTTATGGTACCGTATTGTTAATACATGTTTTTTGAAACATAACTGTTATTGGATGTATTATGCACTTATAAAGTCGGCGCGTCTTATGCGCGACATTTTTATCTTGTTGTCTCGCTCAAGGTGTGTTCTGTCTCCCGTGGCCTTCGATTTAACGAATGCAAGCAAGGAGCAGCACAATGTAATTCAGTCAAGTAGACACAGTAATTGTACATCTCGCTCTCCAGAATATGGCATGTAAGCATGTCACCAGTTGCAACTGCACGTAGCCCTTAAGTTCGCAGTCTCTCCGGCTTCCTAATGTCACTCTTTTGAAATGCAAATATTTTATCTTTTCAATTAATTTGTTCCGGGAAAGAAAATTACATTTAAAATTGTTACTAATACCTACCTGACAGTTGCAAAATCAGGGAATCTAGCGCTTCAGAAGTCGGTAGTCAGAAACGTTCTCATTCGTTCAGCCCGTCGCTCCGCCGCTAATTTAAACCCCAAGTCCATTACACTCGCTCCTCGTCACAGCTCCAGCCGACCGTCACTACTACACGCAAGCCATAACGATGATGAGCGCTACGAGCGTGACTATTAACACGGATAGCGTCGGTGGAACCATAGCGTCTACTGCACCGCCCAAGCGCAATTTTATTCAAAAGGTGAACGATGTGAACAAGATGGAACTACCGAAGCTGCTACGCTATATGCGTCTGGGCAATGTAATCTGTTCTATTGTGCAGATTATTGCCGGTATCGTCGGCATTACGTCATTCATTACGCTCAACATTACGGGCACGCTCGTGTCTATCTACGTCATCATGTTTGGCATTCTCTTTCTGCTCTTTGAGTGTCGTCTCTCACGCATGGAGACGGCTATTCGGTCTAATTTTGGCTTCCTCTTCAGTTACAAGGGTCGTGCTGCTTTCATCTTCTTCATTGGCTTTCTAGACTTTGGCATTGGCTCGGCGCTCGCCACTCTTGCCGGTGTTCTCATGTGTTTCAATGCCTTTATCAATCTTCTGGTCATGTGCCGTCACCCACAGTTCAAGTCTGCGCTTAGCGCCAATGCGGACCCGACGGCCGGATACACCACGAGTAGTCAGGAGGCTGCGAGTTTTATGAGCAAGAACCCGGAGCTTGCGGCTAAAGCCGGACAGTATGCCTTTCAACAGGCAGCCAACACACGCCATTGAGTGGCGAGATGAGTTGGTTGATGTGAGTGAGATTAGCATGACTTGACACTCATTTTTACACATAATCTAATAACCCTTTTTTTCTTTGAAAAGAAGCTGCGTGGTTTGAGCAGTATTGATCCTGAATAGCTTGTGGCGTGTTGTTGTTGGTACAGATGCTGGAACCAATGCAATCATTAGGTGATTCATAACACGATTTAACGGTCTTCAACCCAGAAAAGGAATTTACAACGGCAGTGCGGACCTATCACGTCGGTAGCGCCCTTTATAGTCTCTATACAAAGAGGATGATCAAGTCCTTTGACTGCCTCGAGCCCGACGTGTTGCTGATCACAGACTTTGGTGTTATCTTCATCATGAGTGTGTCTTCATGTTGTGCCTTGCAAGATTGTCCTCCTTCGCTAAGTCGAATCGTTTCTTCTGTCAGTAGGCGTGACTGGAAAGAAAACAAAGACGAAAAGCCCTCGACATTCAGAATGAACCTGTCGGTTGTTCCATCTCGAGATCGATGTCGCTCTACCAATACGTTAAGATCACGCTACAGACATTTTTCGTGAACATGTTCCTTTAACACGTGGCAAGCAGCAACTTCATGCTCACGTATATGTCAAAGCAAACACTCTTGGTCAGTACGTGAAGTGATTTCTCGATTACCATGAGTCCATTCATCATCGCGAAGGAGTGTCATCGAGAACAAGTGACTAGCAGTTTCGTGCTGTTTCTAGCCATTACTCGCCATCCATGTCAACGACCGCTTACCATGCAGTCATAGCTAATTTTACAATGTCAAAGCCCTTTTCACGTGGGTCGTTCGATCTCAGGCGACGCGAGCACCGATGTGGGCGGACGATTAGTAAGCCGCAGCACCACGACGGTTACCAGAAGTGACAACGGCTGGTCGTGTTGATTGAGAGTTCACATCGAACGGTTCGATTCAGCACGCTAGAATATGTCTTTAGCCTCTACTTAGAGAAGTCCACCGAGAGCAAAAGCTCCTTCGTGACAGTCCCGTCAACGAAGCGGTATTCCTTTAGCAGCGGGTTATCAAAGTAATGCTAGCTGTCAGGACAACATGGTGGGTTAATGCAAATTCAGATTGAGTAGATGATGTTAGGGTAGTACATGCAAGACGCACAGGAGCTTAGAATGCAGGGGCGCTCGTTTCGTGCACTGTGCACTCAAGCGGTCCCTTGACAGGCAGCGTCACGCTGTAATCATAGGTGATCTGGAACGGATCTTCCACCGTCTTGATGTCAAACCGACTGAACAGCACGGCTATGACAGTCTGCATCTCCAGCAAAGCGAAACGCATACCAATGCACTGGTGCGGACCACCACCAAACGTGATGAACTGGAACGGATTGACAGACTTCATCTTGCCGGTTTCCTCGTCAATCCAACGATCCGGGTTGAACTCGGCGGCGTCCTCACCCCACACTTTCTTTACGCGAGCGGCGGCGTACACCGACGCGACTACGTACGATCCAAACGGCACGAACGTGCCTTCACGGAGCGTTGTAGACCGCGTGGGCGCACGGTGAACGCCCGTCATGTACAACCGTAGACTTTCTTTAAGCACAGCCTCACTATACGGAATTTTGTGCAAGTCCTCCATCGTAGGGACCTGCAGCTCGCCCGTCATGAGCTCCGGCAGGTTCTCGCGGATCTGAGCACGGAGCTTGGCTAGTACACGAGGATGGCGGTTGAGGTTCACGATGATCCATGTCATACTAAAGCTTGTGGTCTCCTTGCCAGCCAGGAAGAAGTTCATCATCGCGTCACGCAAGTCAGAGGGGTCCGTGTTGCCAGTGTGATCCACGAACAGTGTGAGCAGGTCTGTCTTTGATTTCCAGTCCTCAGCAGTCTTATTTGCAATGGACTTCAGCATGACCTCGTTCAGCAGGTCCGTGGCAATCTTGATGCATCGCTTGAGCATGCGTTCGTCGCCAATGTTCAAGAAACGCTTGAGCTTCCAGAACCACATCGGCGACTGCAGGCGAGCACCAAAGACCTCCGCGTAGCCGTCGACTGCTTCAATGAACGGATGGTCCATTTCGGAGTTGATATCTCCGTCTAAACCGTGGAGATCGACACCAAAACCAATCTTGGTGAATACGTCACTGGAGAACTTGCCTAGTAGAGACTTCATCGGGACCACGCGACCTTCTCGCGCACACTGAGCCAGCACGTCCCGAAGTCTAATGGTCTTCTCAATGATGACCTCGTTCATAACATCACGCAGCATCTTTAAAGAAAACATGTGACTGGCAATGCGACGCTGCTTGAGCCACTTTTCACCATCCACACCTGCGACACCTTCGCCGAATATGTCGTGCTGCAGGTCCACAAGCTCGTCACCGCGGCCGAAAATTTCAAACTGCGTCTTGAAAATGTCTTCGCATGCTTCAGGGGACGTGACTATGAGGGTTTGCGGACGGCCGACAATACTGAGCACCCAGGGCTTGCCGTCGCTTATCTGACTTTGCTCAGCCATCCAGTCTTGTAGACGGTCTTTCTGGAAGAACATGACGTCCAGGGTGTTGCCTAGAATCGGCAGCGTCGACTTGGGGCGGTGCAGACCCTGAGCGTCCAGTGCCTTTGTGATCTTCGTCTCCTTGTACACTGCAACTAACAGCTTGTATCCCAGATACAGACCACTAAGCGCTCCAGCGGCAACCACCACCTGTCGTTCGTTCACTTGGTGCTCGACCATTCCCCACATGCTTGGACCTATCCAGGAAATTCCAAAATGGATGGCAGTTGGTGTGCTCAAGTGAGACTAGACGATCCAAATGGGTTGCAGGTCTTCATGGCCCTGCAACATAGTTCGGATCGTCTGCGGAAGGTATGCTATCTAATCGCAGCAGGGCCATTGAAGATTTGCATTTAGTGAGTCATTTGGGGGTTGCAGGATATCTGGTAGTTCTTAAGCTTGGTTAGCAACGCCAATTCCTCGTTCGATTCCGGTGGTTGTACGGGGAGGAAAAGTTAGTCGCCACCCCAACGAGGTGGGTGCATACACCGCTGTGGGGGAGCACCTTTGGCACATCCTGTCTGATACCAAGTCAGGACCATCCCGAGAGCCGTCACCAACGGTAGTCCAGGTCACCTTGGATAGTCTGGCCCGCGTCTCCTTGCACTGTTTGCAAAAAAGCTTTGGAGCAGTCCAAGGGCTCCCATCGTTTTCCTGTCGAATGGCATATAAGCTTCTGCCAACCATTTGCGCGAAAGGGCATGTCCAGCAGACTCTTCCAGTGTTTTTTTCACTCCTTGGCAGCATTGGAGCTTACAACAACTAAGTGCAATGCCTAAATCTTTGTACGGACGAAACGGTTGTTTGTATAAGGCCACTAATACGTGTTTGTTCGTGACAGAGTGAGGGAGAACCCATGGATGAGCTTGTTCGCATAGTATACGATACCCCCCTACATCCACGCATTTGGTTGTCACCGTCACTTCAACTAGAAGTAATTGTACGTGACATATCAGAGGAGGGGGGTCTGCTGCAGCTGCCATGTGGTAGCAATGTCTCCTGGACCGTCTTTGGGTGAAGGTCGTGTGATGCAATCACGCCTTGCCTTACCGAATAAGTCGCACGTCATCATACACTTTCATAATGGACACTTCCCAATTCGCGCCTTCGAGCAACAACGGCCAAGAGACGAAGACCTTCAAAGAGCCGGTCAACCGGCCCCTTCCGACCAGGGCGGGAAGTCCCTCCAACGGGAGGCCCAGGATAAGAGGGGGAGGTTTTCCCTCTGCTGCGTGCGCTATGGGGGGCAAGCGCAGCGTGCGAACCGTAAGGGGAGCACCAGCCCTGTTACCCCCGGGGGGAGAGGATCGACGACCGCGGTTATCATTCCCTCTTTCCCCAATAGTTCCTGCTATTCTACGTCAGCCTTCAAGACGCCGATTCGATCGCTGAGCGCGAATCTCGGTCCCACGAAGTGAACTTGCCAAGAACGTGAATTGATCGGCCCGTCCAGGTGCATCAGCGGTCGATCGGGACTGATCGGTGTGGTGCCCGGCGCTTGTTGCGATCATTGAGCCACTGTTTACACCTCGGGCTGGATACCCGATTCCACGTGCCCTTTTCGGAGTGTCCCCCGTGACGCCCGACGTCTCGAGCCAGCAGATTGAGCCAGCGAGGCGAAGAATGACGAAGTCCTGGTAGAAGCACTCCAGACATCTTACCAATCCTTAATGTTTGAAATAGACGGTCTGTTCTTCTCACACTTTCATAATGGACAGTCGAGTCATTGAAGTCCCAGACTGGGACTTCGAGACACTGGGACTCCCAGTGTCTCGATGTTTTACAGCCATTGACAAGGCATTATTGACATGTGCTCTGCCCCGTAGATACTGATTACGTGTAAAGATACAGTTGATATAAAACTAGACTAAGAAGGAGCTTGCACTTGCTGGCGCGATTGCAGTTGTCGTCACTAATATGTACAAATTCACAATGGGATTGCAACGTTGTCATCCGACACAGGCTTTCAAAGCACTACAACGCCAAATGTTCCATCGCGCCAAACAATAGCTACGTTCAGCACTTACGGCATTCATCACCAGGTAACAACACCGAGACGGCTCATAGGACGGCAACCACATTCCTGATGTCGCACTCATCGGCACATCTCTGGAGGTATCATCCGCTCAAATGCTCGTGTACAAACAAGCAGCTTTGATGACTTCAATTCGATTGGTCAAAACTTTGAGGTGATGATACCTCGCTTATGTACGATCGACCTCCTCGCCACAGATTTTATCGACATTCAAGTTGCGCTAGAATGTGGAGTCTCAAGGCACTGGAACGGGCATTGCCCGCCGCTCGTGGCGCTCGTGTAGTGTTTGCCAGCTCTGCAGCTGCTTCTGTGACAGCATTTGAAGGAGTGCGTCTAAATAATTTGCGTGACAATGAAGGCGCACACAAGCGTGCCAAGCGTCTCGGTCGCGGTATCGGCTCCGGCAAGGGCAAGACCTCGGGACGCGGACATAAGGGACAAAAGGCGCGATCTGGTGGTGGTTCTGGTCGTGGACCTGGATTTGAGGGTGGACAGACGCCGCTGTATCAGCGCGTACCGAAGCGTGGCTTTAACAACAAGTTTGCGACGCCCATGGAAACGCTAAACGTAGACAAACTACAGCTCTTTGTGGACATGGGGCGTCTGGACGCCAGCAATAAGATTACCATTAAGGAGCTTGTGGACTCGGGCATCGTGACCTGCTCGCGCGTAAAGCATGGCATTAAGCTACTGGGCAAAGGCAGCCAGCATCTTACAACCAAGCTGGATATCGAAGTCTCACAGGCCTCCGAGTCGGCTATTAAGGCAGTGGAAGCGGCCGGTGGTAGTATCGTGTCAGTTTACCACAACCGATTAGCGCTGCGTGCGCTACTCAAGCCGCACAAGTTTGAGATGATCCCGCAGTCGGCACGTCCGAACCCGACGAAACTCACGTACTACACTAACTATGAAAAGCGTGGGTACTTGTCGCCGGAGATTCAGGTTAAGAAGGCGCTAGCCAATGCTAGTAACTTGGAATAGACAGTGAGGCTAAAGGAAAAAGGGGGGGGAGTAACAGTGAAGGGAAGGTAGGTGCTGCATACCGGCAACGGCTGGTGACTGGAATGTCGTGATGCGCCTCTCTTTTGGTAATAAACCTTCAGAGGTGTCGACTAACGTAATAGCTACTGATACTTCTTGTCAGCCTTATGCTGTTTGACTTGTATCCAACGCGAGAACATACTACGACTTACGTCCATGTAAAAGAGAATGCTCACCTGGATTTGAGCAAATTCTGGTTATCTGATACCATTAATGAATTGTTTTGTGCGTAATAACGGAATCGAATACAATAAATATGTCTGACCAATCAGAAGCACAATACTATGACGAATAGGTAGCGTTGGGGGGGGGGGGATGGATAACGCTTCCCTTATATTTGGCAATTACATTTCGTCGACAATGGCGGCAAATCTGATACGCAACGGTGCGCTCATCGTGAGCTGGGCAGCCATGACAAAAGAGTATTTCTTCGATATTAACTACGGTATGGGCACATCCATGATCCCCACAATCCCCGACGGATCTTATATCTTTGTGGAACGACTATCGCGACGCTGGCGCAACTGGGAGCGTGGGGATTTGGTTCAGCTTCGTTCACCCACTCGGCGTCGGGGCGAGACCATTACGAAGCGGATTCTAGCCTTGGTAGGGGAAATGGTATATAGTGTATCTGATCGCTGCTGACTGTTTGTTTAATGCAGGAGGGAGACGTAGTGGAATTGCAACCGCGTTTCGACAAGGAACGCAAGGGAAAGATAGTGGTCCCAAAGGGTCATGTGTGGGTAGAAGGAGATAATCCCACATACTCTGTGGACTCAAGGCATTTTGGTGCTGTCCCTATTGCTCTTTTGATCGGACGACCATTTTGGATTGTAAGGGGTATATGACAATGTCATTCCAAGTGAAATGTTTGACGAAATGACTGACACTTTACACAGATCTAATGCTCCATTCTTTTTAACAGCATGGTACTGAGACACAGTCAAGTCTGCTGGTTCAAATAACATCAAAAACATTGTAATCTGTTGTACTACCCGGTGCTTTCCACACGAACCCGCACCCAATTTCAACCGATTGTTCATCTTTCACTACAACAAGTGAGTGCCAATCGGCAGATCGTGTCATGAACATTCTAGTCTCTTCAAGCCGCAATTGGCGCAAAAGTTGTCCAGCTTTGATGAATACGTGACCTGGCACTGCGGGCAATGAAGTGGTCGTCTGTTGCCAATCGGTGCAATATCAGTAGCATCTGCAGTAGTTTTCTCCACTCTTTGCTTGGTCTTATAGATAGAATGATAGTAGTTCATGCGCTCGAGTTCCTCTCTCCCATCCGCCAGCAGCGCTTTCACTCGATCCGGATCCTTTGTGTTAATCTCATCACGAAACTTCATTTGCACGTACACTTTCATCATCTCGCGCTGCTCCCACTTTGGACATCTGCGCGCTGATCGTAGACATTGCGTATACAGATGCAGTACTGACCGCTTTAGCTGCATTGTCAAAATTAATAGTGATCGAATGCCATAAATGATTTAAAAGCTCTCATTGGCTAAAAGTAAACTGCAGCCAATCGTTAGTCCAGAACCGCCCGTTCGAAGTAAGTAAGAACCTCAAGCATGAGCTCCCGCACACTTTGCCACGCTCTTCGTGGCGGTATCAGCGTGAATGTACGTCGTGAAGTATTCGTCACACGTGGTGGACACGCGCATCGTCCGCCTCCTCCACCATTTGCGCGTATTAAAGCGCCGGAACAGCCGCTGCACGAGGAGGCGGAGCTGGTCTGGAATGACGGTGTCTCCCCCGAGACGCTTATTGACTTTGACGCGCCGCACATCCCCAAGTACCAAGCGTTACGACACTGGATCTGTGGGTTGGGCGCGCTTGTGACACTTATGGGTGTCGTGACGCTTTATAACCCTGATTCGTGGCGACAGGCGGTGCGATGATTCGAGGGTAGAAGAGATCCTGCTATATCTATAGACTGACGCCAATATTGTTGTAATGTGTGGTTAAATGTAATGTTGCAGTCCAAGCGCGGCAACCACCTGCCGAGTTTGAAGTGGGAAATGGGCGAGATTGACCAGCCTGAAGGAGAGATGGACGAGTAAGATGTAAACAGGTGCTGGCTGATGAAGCTGGTTGAAAAATCGAGTTGGTCCAGTGGAAAGAAGACGAGATTGCCGTACGTTTTGTTATCTGTCGAGATGCTTGCAAGTGGAGCCTATTGAGCTCAGATAATAACAGCGCAGAAATAACAGAAAACTTCAACCACATGATGTCGGAAGAAGAGGAGGACATTGTCTAGTAATGAAGCGTTGTCGCAAAGCTGTACAAATAAGGACATCACTGCTAGTTTGCATGTAAATCCACTGGATCAGTGAACAGCGCAGGCAGCTAGCACTTGCTCTTCTATGGACCGTGTTGGTGACATACCTCCTTACTACTTGCCTGACGATTGCGTGGTCCGGTTGGCAACGATCGAGTCAATGATACCAAAATCCTGCGCCTCCTGCGGGTCCATGAAAAGATCGCGATCCATTGCCTGCTCAATCACTGTAATGGGCTTTCCCGTGTGGGACGCATACAGTCCGTTCAATCTGTACAAGAGAGCAGCAGACTTAGCTTTCATACCACGCCAAGGCAAGCTGCAGCAGCCTACCTAGTACGGAGCTTAATGATCTCCTCAGCCTGGATAGCGATATCACTGGCCATACCCTGCGCCCCTCCTGAAGGTTGGTGGATCATGATCTGCAACATTGTATCGCGAACGAATCAACTCTTTACAGCGATCATCATACATTTCTAGCACTGAGATACTCACACGAGCATTTGGTAGTGCAGATCGACAGCCCGGAGTGCCTCCTGCAAGCAATAGTGAGCCCATGGATGCAGCCTGGCCCATGCAGACCGTGTTGACCTTGGGCTGGATGTACTGCATAGTGTCATAGATGGCCAAACCAGAGCTCACAATGCCCCCGGGGCTGTTAATGTACATGTATACGTCCTTGTCAGGGTTCTCCGACTCGAGAAACAGTAGCTGCGCAGTTACAAGCGATGCCATATTGTCGTTCACAGGGCCATGTACAAACACAATGCGCTCCTTAAGCAGCCGCGAGTAGATGTCAAACACACGCTCTCCTCGCGGTGACTGCTCTAGCACCATGGGAACGAGTGAGCTCACAATGGATTGAAACCCTCGACGAGCTCCTGCATTATGTTGCAGCTTCTGGAACAGCATTGCTCAAAAATGTGGAACTGGTATCAAATTAACAATAAATACTACTTGACGTGAACCTTTTTGGCCTTTTTCTACAGGCATATTACTTTTATAAGCGAGCAAAATTGTTGCGAATTTTGTGATCGGACCTAATTTCTTCCTTCTTACTATCACTAATAATACAAGTATCATTACATAGTGCGACAATAAAAAAGAACCATTGAACAGCTACATCGACACAATTAATAAGACGTTCTTATTCGAGCGAGAGATTCGGCTACTTTGCAGGCACAATTTCATCCAGTGCGTGGTACATAAACTTGGCAAACATAGGGTCCAGGAGCGCCTTCTCAAGCGCTTTTACTTTATTCGGACTATTATCAATCTACTCCATGGAATCAACAATGCAACCACGTCAGTCAACCAATCGTCTCAGGTGCAGAAAAGATAATCATACAAACCTGAGTCAGCGCCTGCGTAATGGCAGAATTTGCCAGTAATTCCTTTACTTTCACGGAAGTCCTAAGTACGTCCATTTGTTCATCCGTGAGCTTCTCGTTCTCCTTGTCTTCGGACATTACAGTGAAGGATGATGGAGCTGAGTCTTGCAACAGTGTTGGAGACTTGTGGGGGGTTATAGGTGCTGGCACCGACTCACATGGCGTCTCTTTATGTTTCTTACAACACACGAGACTACAGTAGGGCGCTCGACATGTTGGACACTTGTACTTGGCCTCAGTCGTCTCACACATTACGCAGAGCTGAGCCATCCCTTCTAGTGCTCCAAAATAAATGATGCCAATCACTGTCGTTTTGTAATTTACAGAATTTAGAACCAAAATAGATTACGTCGTAATTAAAAATAGTGTCAATTACAAAGACAAAGGCTGTGATTGGCTATGTTTCAATTGTACATCCCGGTCGTTATTTAGTTGCATCGGACACTAGAGTCGCTCTCTACTACCGTTCCAGGCTTGGCCACAATTAAATTCTCGATGCAAGAACTTCAGTGCATGGTACAGACTTATGCATGGGGAAAACCTGGACTTGAAAGCTCTGTGGCGCAACTTAAGGTACGTCGTACGTACTTCAATAGCCAAAAAAGTTTCGTTGACCCAATTGCTGACGTTAACGAGTGCAGGAAGCTGCTGATTATTCATTTAAAGCCGATGCAAATACCCCGTATGCGGAACTATGGTAGGTGGTACGAGTGCTGGGACAAGTTGATACAAAGGTCTAAACATTTTATGCCACTGGGTTGTCGTAATGCCAGGATGGGAACGCACTTCAATGGTCCATCGCGCGTGCTTTGTGAAGATGGCGGTGATCCACCACTACTGAGTGATTGGATCCAGACGCTTCAAGGCCACGAGACGGGAAATCTGCCTTACTTGTTTAAGGTGCTGTCTGTGCGCAAAGCCCTATCCATTCAGGCCCATCCGGACACCAAGCTGGCTGGTGAGTTGCATGCCAAGTTCCCGCAGATCTACAAGGATCCGAATCACAAGCCGGAGATGGTCATTGCTCTCACCCGTTTCGAAGCTCTGTGCGTATAGCTCCTCTTGATTGTTCATTGAAGTGCTGACGTGTGGGTCACTGATCAGGATGATTGGGTTGTTTTCATTGTAGTTGTCAGTTTCGAAAAAAGAACGAGATTGCAACTCATCTTCAGGAAGTTCCCGAGCTCCGTGCGCTTGTTGATGCTGAGGGTACGTAGCTGCAAATCTTAACCATTCGTATAGTGCAATGCTAACGGTAGTAACGCTGCAGTGGCTCAGCGGTTGGTAGCAAAGCAAAACGAAGCATCACTGCGCGATTTTTTTCGTTGCTTTGTGTACGCTGAATCGGAAAGCATTGCATCCCAATTACATGCATTATGTGCACGGCTTGAAGGAGCATCGCATTTGACCGCATTGGAGAAGCTGGTGCTGCGCCTGAGTACTGATTATCCCGGCGATATTGGCTGTTTTTGTCCGTTTCTGCTTAACTATATCACGCTGGAACCCGGTGAGGCCATGTTCCTAGGCGCCAACGAGCCCCATGCGTACCTTTCCGGTGACTGCATTGAATGCATGGTATGCTCCGACAACGTTGTTCGTGCAGGACTAACTTCGAAATTTATCGACAAGGAAACGTTGCACTCGATGCTGACTTATCGCACGGGTAAACCGCGCGTATACAGGGGACATACTCAGGACGATGGCGTTGCAAGACTGTATGCCTCTCCCGTACCCGAATTCGAGGTTGAAGCCGTCGAACTCAAACCTCGCCAGCGATATGCGTTGCCAGCACGAAAAGGTGACTCGATCATTATTGTCACATCGGGTAGCGGCTCGACTGTAGAGCTTTCTAGCGCTGCTGCCGGTCGATTGATGTCGAAGGGTCAGGTATTTTTCTTATTGAAGGGGGAGATTTTAGAGATTCAGGGCGGTGATGAAGGTATTACAACATTCCGCGCATCTCCAAACGAAAGCTTAGAATCACCACGCAATGCTTCATTAGATTTGAGTCGCGTACCCGAAATGCACCGGTAACTACACGGAAGACTAGCTGAACGGCAGTGATCCCAAGGCAAAAGGCAAGTTATTGCGCGTAAGCTACACAGGGAAGGAAATAACCATGCCAGGTGTGGTTTTGCAGCACCTCGCCACATGCTCAATATCAGTGTGTTTGTACTTTCACTTATGCAGCTTGCTGTGGGTGTAAGTCATCTGTAGTGAGCATCAAGCTCTGCGCAACCTTCCGAATGACCCACTGTGCCTCAGCAGGACCTTCAATACGCGCAAAGTGACAGTTGTCATCATCTCCTGTAGGTCTGTAGCCAGCAGTTGTGCTTACAAAGTCGTCCCAGTGAGAAGCGACTCCCTCGCCTTCTTCTCTTGTAGTAAATATATGGTGCTCCTTCTCGTGTCCCTCTCCTTCACTGTTGAACTCACCGTCCGCATATTCAATGACTTCAGCGTCGGCGTCTTCGAAGTCGTCGCTGTATTGCGTCCCGCTGTGATCATGGAAGTCAGAGGAGTCATCGCTGTAAAAGTTCTCTTCTGCCTCGTACTCACCCAGTGATGTGTCAGTGGATCTATCGTCATCATCACTATCTCCATCTAGCTCCAGCTCACGCATCATGGAGATCTCACTAAACTTGGGTACTCGAGTATCCTCCGCATTAACGTCGTTTGATACACAAGACAGAGGTTGCTAGTAGGTCCCCATTGTCGTAAAAGTCTGCCATTCGAGCTGTGGGGTTTAGCCAGCGAGATTCGGGTACGTGAAATGGCGTTCTGAGATTCCCCATCCCTCTTTGTCTGAGAATTTCAGGTTGTCGTAACTCGCGCTTACTAGGACTGCAGTTCTCCTTAGTGTCCTTGGAGCTGTAGTAATTCTGAAAGCTGTCTATGCATTCATCACTATACTCGCTCTGAAAATTTGGATTCATGAGCTCCTTTTCCTGAAATTGCGAGTCATCATCATCGGCTTCGTTACTACTGGAACGGGCACTGCCATTCGCGTGTGGTTTCTTACTGCTTTCACCTTGCCCCCATGCAAACAACTTTCTCTCTCTAGATGCCAGCCGAGGTTGTGGCCATACCGCCGTCGGCATGGAGTTTAATGAGTCTTCATCTACTTCTTCATCAGGCATCAACCCATGCTTTTCTATCGCAACTGGATGTGGTTTCTCCTCTGTCGTAATTTGCGGCTCTAGTGTGGTGTTTCGCTCTGGTAGCCGAAAGCTTAGTTGTGACTGTTGTAAAATGCTTGAGTCCAATCGTTCAGGCTCGTTGCATGTGTCTAAATGATCGGTATCTGCAGTGAAAGGTTGAATCGGTATCCACTGCATCGGTGCTACCTGTGAAAAAGCTGTCTGAGCCGATCGTAGCTGCTTTTTCTCCCCAGACGAGCGCCGAGCAGATAGGTTTTTAGAATGCAGTCGGCGTCTACCACGTGCAGAAGCTGAACCATATTGCGGTCTCCGTGCCAGCGGGTTTATTACCTTAACCTTTAGCGAGCCACCTGAGGCTACGAGTCCCTGCATGTGGTGGCGGATGTATGGCATTGCGAAAATTTCTTCCATACTAGGCCTCCGCTCTGGGTCCTTGTCGAGCAGTCTGTGCAGCAGATCGGATACTTCTTTGCCGTAACAAGGGGGTACCGGATTACAGTCTTGCTGCACAATTTTGAGGATAAGCATAAGTATATTCGAAGCATCGAAGGCGTGCCGCAGGGCAAGCATCTCATACAGAACACAGCCAAGAGACCACACATCGCTTGCGTACGAGTATGGCTTGCTCTCGCAGACCTCTGGACTCATGTAGTATGGCGTCCCCACCACAGTCTTTGCTTGATCTAGCGTTGAATCCAGTGTCTTGGCGATGCCAAAGTCTCCCAATTTCACCACATTCTCAGTCGTGAGGAACACATTGCTGGTCTTCAAGTCTCGATGTAATACACGTTGGTCGTGCAGATACTTGATTGCCATGGCCATCTGCACAAACCAGTCCAGCACTTGGCTAATGGGGAAATATCCCCTCGGGTCACTTGAGTTGTTGTCTGGGCCAACAATCTGTTCTCGAATCTTATGCTGCTCCTTGATTTTGTCCGCCAAGTCACCACCGTCACAATAAGCCATTATAATATGCAGCACGTTATCTGCAACAAAATTTTCCTTGTACTCGACCACATTGGGGTGTTTAAGCTTGGCCAATAGCTCCACCTCATGAAAGGACTGGTCCTTTTCCTTGGCGGAAAGTAACTCCATTGGAATCTTTTTAACCACAAAACGATTCTCCAGGCACGTGCGGTCTTGTACAAGGTATGCAGACCCGTAGCTGCCGCGTCCGATACATCTGAGCTCCTCAAAGCGGTGCATACGATTGAAAAGAGAGGGGATATTGCTTAACGTCTTTTCAAGATCTAGCCCTAAACGGACATACAACGACAAATTCTTTTGCCTGGCGGCTCGATTGGTGACACGTCAATGCAGTGGGACGAGATCTCGACAGCCGGCGAGAGAGAGATCGCTAAATGAGAAGCTCCTGCAGGAAGGAGGTCGTTTCACGTCGAACTTTGGAGTGATCACGGTACTTGTGATCTTATGTTTTTACTCGAAATAATATGAAAAGCCGTTAAAACGCATTTATTCGACTTTATCGAATTCTTGGACGGGCCGGGGAGTTAAAACACTTTAACAAACAAAAGAGAGAGTGAAAAACTCCGGTATTTCTTGCTCCGGTGATCCGATTTCTTTCTCTCTTCATTTTAATTATCAGAGAATATTGTGGTCCACTAACGCTGACTTTGAATGCCGACAGCTGTGTACCTTCGTTAATGCCCACCTGCATGTCCATCGTCGCTGCTGTGACTAGCAGCAGCCTCATTCTTATCCTTTTGGGTGATCACCATGTTCATGCGCGTCAACTGGTCACACAATGCAAAGTCGATCAAAACGAAAGTAAGTCGACAATCTTAACCAGGCCATTGTTACTGCAGTAAGTAGTTGCACCTCCTTTCTGTGGTGTAAACATTCGATATAGTCCTCGACCTGCTTACCACACTGACCAGAGTATTCCGTGTCCTTCTGCTCCGGCAAAATAAGCACAGCACACGGGGAATAAATGAGCAAATACATTTCAGCCAGCAAGTCGTAGAGACAAGAGACACAGCACAAATGAAGATGACTACACGCACGCTGCATTGCTCTACGCCCTTCCAGAACTGGTAGCATCGGCCCTCGCGGCCTTTAAATCCGAAACCCGACGACATGCTGCTGATAATACTGATTCCAAGGGTGCGAGCTCGTAGCCGCACATCCTTTACAACGAATTTTGACCAATCCATAGAGACCTGTAGAATTGGATCATCAATTTGATCAGCTGATACTGTACGTGACTATTTCGTAACGACGCAACATTATATACAGTATCATTAGTCTGTGCGTTGTATTACGCTGTACCGGCTTTGCATTTAGAAATATATGTACAGACCTCCCTCCAATGAGTTATCCTCCCATAGATTATTATCTCCGGTAGGTTATCAACTTTTACGTCCACATTGCAGATAACATTTTCCCTCAGTCCGAGGTACAGCGCCTTCTTCTTTGCTCGTCCAGCTGCTTTATATAACTAGAAAAAGACCAAATAGAAGATAGTTGCGACAAATGGGCGCGGATTGAGTTTTCCGTGGGCGTGGCTTAGACTTTTCCCTTTTATTGGTACATATATAAGTGCCAATATTATGTAACGGACTTTATGGTAATACATGTGTATATCACATACACAAGACTGGGTCACATGGTGTGCACCAAGTGAAAGGGTAAGCACACACGTCTAACAGGTACGTGTAACCTTTGGGCATATAGCCCCTTCAGACTTAAAGATAGCGCGTTTTTGGGTTGTTTGTATTGCAAATCGCTATGATTGAATGAGCCAAGTAGGCGAAATGTTTCGCTATACTCAGCACACTAGTTGTATCGCTGTCACCCTCACTTAGCGCGCTTCCAATCGCTGATGAAATTTTGCTTATTATAAACTTAGAGCGTCATATAAAGCCCACGGTAAATTAACCGTTATTTGAAGACGACCAAATCAGTGCAATTTGGTCCATACAAAACTCGCCACAAAAAGTTAAGAATAGGCATTACCAATAATGCCAGAAACGTCGGAGATGCACCCGTCAGCGAAGGCTGTCGATGGAGGTAGCGCACCTGACACGCCTCAATATACGGAAAGAGATTTAACGGGTCAGCATGGAGAGAGAAAACGCGGCCGTGAAGAATACATGGCAGGGGTGGAGCGCCGCATCGAAGCGTACGAGAATTGTGCGACGGCCATCATAGCAGCGACAACGTTTCTGCAGGAGCTTAGCGGTCATTTGAATGCCATGCAGCTATCCACGCAGCAACTGAACGCGTTTACCGGTGGATGGCTGGCGGTGTGGAAGCGGTCATCAGCCTAATAGAGCATAGCGACGCAGTTTCCAAGTTAATGACAGGACTTACATGCGTTACGCAATATGAAGCTGAGGTGCTGAAGAAAGAGTTGAGTTCTGTGCTTGTTGGCGCGATAACTAATCTTGGGCTCATATCATTCGTCGTGGTAACATATAACTCACAGAGCAAAAGAATGCAGCGGTCAAAGACAAAAGCTCTCAGCTTTATGAACGAGGCTGACCCGCAGCGATGAACAGCCAAAACCGAAGGAAGGCAAACAAACTTCGCTGGACAAAGTCACACTGGATGATAAAATTGCATTGCAAGCTTGAGCCTTTAACTAATCAGGAGCAATGACCTACCCATACGACAATCGGTGCCTTGTTTGGGTTGTAGTCTGGTGTTGCATTAGCAACAAGTTTCTACGCAGTATTGATTGTTGTTGCGCATCAATGTTTTTTTTCCGCTGGTGCACCTCGCGCTTGACTGGGATCCAGCAGCCGTAGCTCGTTAGCTAACACCTCCTCGATTAATATCTCGTCGTACACTTGACTACGTTGCAGCCGCTATGCGGCTCGGCGTCAGTAATTGTGCCAGAAAACTAAAGCCCATCCATCGCGTGTATAACGCGGGGGGCCATCAGAAACGATCTTCGGTGCGAGCACAGCCCCGCTTTGACAATGATAAAAAATTAGCACCAGGTACGACATTATGCTGCCAAACTTCATGATTATCTCCCATAAGGTAATGCTGTAGAGCAGCATGCTGAGAAAAAAAACTTGTGTATGACTCACGGATCTGAGCACGACCTGCGCTCGCAGCAGTTGAGTCCAAACCACATCTTGCAACACTGCATGAACGTTGTGCAACGCACGTAATCCTCGTTCATGTTCTTGCTGGCTTGGCGGAAGGGAATTGAATTGTAGCTTCGTTGAGCAGAAGCAGTCAGCGGGCGAAAATTGGAGCTCCCATTATACTGAGGGTGATAAAGAAAAAAAAGTAATTCTGTTGAAGCGAGTAAGGATACTGTCGCTACCATTGATGTTGTGTAAACATTGATTGGCACCTGCAATGATCAGGCCCTCGGCGTCGCAGAGAGCTGCCAGCAAGCTTAAAGGTGCAAGTGTACATCCTCAGCGCGCATGATCTGCAGCGGAAGGTATTTCGTGCTGTCAAATTTGCCTGTCTACTGTGTTGGGCACGAAAGCGGCAGGCCCATTTATACCCGATTTGGTGCGCAACCATCGTTACTTGCGAGCCGAGGCACTGGCCAGCCATGGGCTTGAATGCCAAGTTGCCGGGTCTGTAAAGCTTGCCGGTGCATATAATGTGGACCATCTCATTTACTTACCATCATGTAAAGACAATACTTTACATTGGTCAATTTGATTCCGGTCACCGTGCCTACGTCGATTCATAGCGGGGCTGTTCCGGTGCCAGCATTGAGCTGTCTTGATTTACAGTGTAAAAATCGTTGGATATCTTTAAGAACTGGAAGCAGCCTTGCTTCATCCGCTCCGTGACGCCCGGAAGTCGTCTTCCCACCACGTAACGGAGCACAAAGAAGTAAACGAGACCGAACACGACTCCGTCAGCACTTCCGATGACAACTTGCAGCTCCGTGTGGTCGCCTAGGTATATGCGACTATACGGAACTGGTACAAAGAGCACGACGAGACCGACACATACAGCCACCTTTGTAATCACCCTCCATTGCTTGCCGACGCCTAAGAGCGTCTCAAGGATCAGCCACAGACCCAAGCCGATGGCGGTGGTGGCGTGGCCTGAAGGCATGCCGTTGCTGGAGACACAGCTACCGCATGGGCGATCGCACTCGCTGCACTCGCCCAGACTTAAAACGATAATTGAGTTGATACCGCCGAAGATGGGAATAAAGAGGAATGCGAAGACTCTCACCCAGCTGCGGCGGAGGAAGATGAAATCAAGCGTAATGGCCGTTGGCACAAAGTACGGCACCATGCCGTAGAAGGAGAAGACAACATCCCAGAAAACAACGTCGTTAGTGGGTACGCTAACGCTGAAGAAGATGCGAGTGATCACGTTCATGCTGCAGGGGCCGCGAGCACAGCGGTCCGAGTCATGACCACAGAGCAAACAGCACTCCTCGAAAGATGAGCAAGGCGCGTTTTTGGCTGTCACCTTTGACGCGTTCATCTGATAGGCGAGAAGCACCAACACGACGGTCAGAGTGCATGAAGATCGTCGGAGATACATCAAATGGATACTAACGATTCTCCTTCTGTACATAGCTCCCTCCGTTACATTATGGGTACGACAACATCCATAATTTGACAGAGGTTATAGCTTATCGGAATTCGTAGATTGTACATACGAGAAATAAAATAAATATATAAGCAATTCTGGGCAACTAGACGCACAAGACAGGCGTCCAGCCCCGAGGTTACACTGCTAAAAAGAACTTAAGTCTTAGGCTTTTTTGTTAATTTGACCCGTGTACAAAGGTGTGAGATACGTCGCCAACTTGTTTTTCTCTGTGCTAATAGTGAAAGCTACATGTAAATTTACAGTGTTTAAGTCTTGCCTACCTCGATAGTTAAAGATGTCGCAAAACTGGAGCAGAGCTGAGAGACCAGCTAGAGTAGCTGCGTGTCTCCATGACGATTTCAGAGATTCTCAATCCCATCGAAGAGGATGAGACTGTTTACCCGGAGCTGACCGAGAACGAGATTCTGGAAGAGGTAAAGGAGGCACATAAGGAGGGTAAAAATAGTGAAGATGTGGCACCTGTCGAGACAACATTACCAGAACCAAAAAGATCCTTCTTTTTTGTGATACCTACTTCCTGCTCGATGTTATTCAGGAAAGTCACCAAGCTGCTTATAGAGTCCTTCAACTATTCGTGTGGTGGGTGGATTCTCAAACAACGAAGAAGATCCACAAACACACACAGCGCCGGACTGCCGACTTACCGGAGGGTGTACACCGATGTGTGCGCGTCAACCTTGGGTCTCACCTTGTGTACCCGTCGGCTTGGCCGATCTTGCTCCTCGATTGATGCAGAAGACTTAAAGACTTGGTCTTTGTATAAGACTTGGACTTAGTGGTCCCCGAGCGGATATGCTTCACTTGAGACCGGGTTTCTTGTGCTCAATCGACTGGGTCGAGAGCAGTGCACCTGGTACTATGTACCCCTTCGGTGGATAACAGTTTCTTGGTCCTTCGACCCCTTTTCTTGTTCCCCGTAGGGAAACCGCTTCCTGTAGCGGGTCTTGAATGGGTACGAACCCACAGGCCAAAATACTTCCTGGGGTTCGTTCGAGCTTTAATCTTACCGTGTTCAACGGGGGGGGGGGCAAAATCAATCCCTTCCCCGGAACAGGTGGGTAGATCGCAAAAAGTTCGCACTTGAGTCTTGACACTTACTTGACACCTCAGGCCAACTATATTGAGGTTCAACTTGCGTAGCTTGAGCCGTCACCTCACCTGACGTCGGTGGGCCAAAGGATATCCCGCCCGGAATAGGTGAGGAGACGGAGAAGCTTGGAAGGGGCGCTTAAAGCTGCCACGTGTAATGCAAATTCGAGTGTGTTTATTTATCTTATTCTCTGTATGCTTTTCTTATATAGCCCCGAACCTTCGCTATGGATGGTACCACGTGTCAACTTGTGACAGAACAGCTGTTTTTTTAGGATACTGGACTTGTACCGGCTATGCACTGTAGGGAAGCCTTTACCCTTCTATGACCTTGGGTCCTGGAACCACTGGGGTACCAAGTCACATTGGGTCATCCTGGTCACCTGGGGTGCCGGGTCCACCTTGGGTCCCGGTATACCTTGGGTTCTCCTGGTCACCTGGGGTGCCTGGACTACTCTCGCGGCACTGGACCTTCGGGCTCTTGGACTTGTGCCGCATTGGCATTGTAGGGCAACCTTGTACCTTCTATGACTTCAGGGCCCTGGACCTTCGGTACCGCTGTCCCTGGTAACTGGTACCTTCTGTCTCTGAATAACTAGTATCCATGTCCCTATTAACTGGGTTCCTGTCCCTAGTACGCTTGTCTCTCTGTCCCCAATTACTGGAAACCCTGTCCCCGGTTACTGGAAACTCTGTCATTAATTACTCAAAACCCAGTCCCTAGTAACTGGCACCCCCGTCCCCTGTACCCTGTCCCTGGCTACCCTCATTTAAATTTAGGACCTTGCAAGGCCTGGAATATTTCCCTTATTTAATGTGTATCCTCGGGGGCCCCGATTCTTCTGGCACTTCTC